AAACTGCGTTTCTTCAAACCGTGGATACAGAAACTGCTCGGCCCCCATATCTGCAAGTTGACGGATCGCCTCCATTTTAGTGCCATATTTTTCCTGGCTGAATTCTAACCCTTTCTGCTATCTTTCTTTTTGTATTTCTGACTTCTACGCCCGGGAAATGATCTTTGGTTTTTAAGTATTATTTTTAAAGGGAAACAGCTGATTGTCAAAGTCCAAGCTCTGCTGCGGCTGCGCTACCACTGCCTTCGCCACTTCCTCATTCTTCTAGAGCCCCCTGCCTCAGAAGCTTGATGTGGTCATCCCATGTGACTTTCGGGGGGCCAGGCCGTTCACCAGGCTCCCACCTTCGGAAGGAACTATAGTTTTCCAAGAACTAAGGGTGAGTTTCGACCTCAGCACTGCAGGGCTCCATGCTTTGGCTCAGTGAAAATCATCAGACCCCTTTTTATGATTTTTGGACTTTCTGCCATACTTTGGACTCCTTTTACTTCATGAACTTGTTTTCACTCATGACTTTTCCCACAATGAACTATGAATTCATCCTACACAATGGTCAAGATTTTCATCAATTGCTCTGTTGGGGGGAGGGAGAGAAGGGATGCCTAGATATGACTTCTTTGTGTATGATTTCTATATTTCTATATTTCCCCCGTGTATCTGACCCTTCCCTGACCCCTTGCCCCACTCCCTTCTTCTAAAGAAAAATATGTAAGGAAGTCACTTAGCCCCAAGGGACGAAAGCAATTAGCGAGTACAGAAACCCTAATCTAAGAAGATTTTTTTAACATGTTTTTATTGTGAATTTTTAGGTACATAAAAAGTGGTGGAACAATTGGGAGGAGATAGGAAAGAGTGGAAAAGCGGTAGAGGGGAAAGAGGGATAAAGCGGGGAGGAAGGGGAATTGGTTTCTCATTCTCGCACACACACACACTGGGGCATTCACTCCGCTTTCGCTTGGAAATATTGTCTCTCCATCGAAAAAAAATGCTTCCAGGTCTTTCAAGGGTAGCTTTCTGTTTTATCTTCTTTGGACTGGTTCCGATCCATCTGTGTATTCGAGGGGAGTCTGGAGGTATTCTATGTTTTCTTCCATTGAAGTCTTGAGATATATTTCTGAGGACTCATCCATATTTATCTTTTTTTATTTTATTTTTTATTATTTTACATTATTTCTTTTTGTTGTCCTAGTCTACTACTACTATTAAATTTTTGTATTAGTGTATTTATTATGATTATTATTACGTTTTGAGTAGATTTCTTGGTTTGGGACTTTTTGCCCTTGAAACAATTTGTTTCGGTTGTATGTTTTAAATTTTATTTGCTTTTTTCCTCTTCTAAGAATTTGAGGAAATTGGTCCAAACGGTTATTTTAGGCCTATTTTGTTGAGAAAGTCTTTGTGTAAGAATGTCCATGTTCATGATGTCATGGACCTTCAGTATCCATTGCTCTATAGATGGTATTTTCGGAGTCTTCCAGAGCTGTGCCAATTTCATTCTCGCCGCTGTTATTAAATAACAAAAAAATCTTGTTTGTGTTTATGCCCATATCAAAAGAACATTTTTTTGCATCGACAATAAAAAGAATTATTCTCCTGACCTCGGAGGATCTGCCCATCAGGGGATGTTTGTTTGGCAGAATTTAATCACTTTACAATAAGATAACGGGGAAATCTTCCCCTACGGACTTGTTTCCATTCAAGCCCTTCTGTTGATAACATCTACCCAAGTTTGCCCCCATTGTTCCCCTGTCTCGCAGTTGAGGAAAAACCCAGATTTTACTGCAACATGTTTATTGCCACCACTCACAAAACAATAGGCCAGCTTGACTGGCAGGTCCTTTCGGAACTCATTAAGCCCCTGGGCAAAAAATGCATTGTACCAGTCAGGCACACCGTGGCTGCTCTGTGATTGGCCCAGATGCACAGAGGGCGGACAAGCCTCCTCCCAGCGTGGCAGCCAATCAGCTTCAAGACCGGCAGAGGGCAGGAAGCGGGAGATTTGAACCACACAACTCTGTATTTTCTATAAAAATGGCATTTCTTGTGTAACTTGGCATGCTGTGCTTTGGCGAATGATCGCAGCTTTGCATCCTTTTCAGCTGAATCGCTAATAAAGACTTCGGTGGCACTTTCTTCCACATTGGTGAGCTTCTTTCTGGTAACCTTAGGGGAATAACTCTTAGAATTTGGGCTTCTCTGCGCTTGCCATTGTAGCGATCCCTCTTTGGTGGGGCTGCTAAGGTCTCCCTTAAAGGGCCAGACCTTCCCAAATTCCCATCGATTTCATGTAGTCACCTACGGATGTGAGAGCTGGACCATAGGGAAGGCTGAGTGAAGGAAGATAGATGCTTTTGAACTGTGGTGGTGGAGGAAAGTTCCGAGAGTGCCTTGGACTGCGAGAAGATCCAACCAGTCCATACTGGCGGCTGACAGGGAGCTCTGGCGTGGGCTGGTCCAAGAGGTGATGAAGAGTTAGAAGCGACTGAACGAATGAACAACAATGGAACAATACAATATATTACTATCTCTCAAAACATGTAAACACTGAAATAGAGCAGAAACATCAAAGGATTACAAGCCCATACTTAATGTCAATAAAACTGTGAAGCAACTTTATCAAAACACAACAGCTGCTTTTTTTTTTTTTTTTTGCCTTCCTAACCTTCTCTTTGTTTGGCCCAATAAGGCCTCTGTGGTTTTGTGGGGTTTATGATGTCCTGCTGCCAACGCGCAGGGGGAGGGACTTCCGGGACACTCCTCCCTCCCTCCTTCCTTCCCTGCAGCCCAGCACAGGTCCAGCAGCATCACCCTTGCGGATGGATTAGGGATCAGCTGGTTTCCCCTGTAATAGGCAATGAGGGCACCTAGAGCTTCGGAGAGCTTTTGTTCAACCATCTCAAAGCTCCCTGCTTGAGCGGTAATGGCACGATCATCAGCATAGATTAAACTCTCTGTCCCTTCTGGCAGTGGCTGGTCATTTGTGTAAATGCTGAACATGGATGGAGCAAGCACGCTCCCCTGAGACAGGCCGTTCTTCTGTTTCCGCCATCTGCTTCTCTGGCCCTGGAACTCAACAAAAAAGCTCCTGTTTTGTAGCAGGTTTCCTATGAGGCGGGTGAGGTGGTAGTCCTTTGTGATACTATACATTTTTCTCAGGAGAAGGCAGTGGTTTACAGTAATTAGCCGCTAACACGTCTATGAAGACAGCTCCTGTGATCTGCTGCCTTTCAAAACCATCTTCTATGTGCTGAGTCAGGTTCAGCACTTGCGATGTGCAGCTTTTGCCTTTCCTGAAGCCAGCCAGCTAATCCATCTAAATCAAAGACATGTGCTTTTCACCTTAAGAACAGACAAGCATCCCGAGCTCTGAGGATTAGCTGGGAAGGAATCCCACTAGAGCATTGCAGCGCACCCAAATACCCGGGAGACACTCTGGACCGTGCTCTGACGTACAAGAAGCACTGCCTGAATATCAAGCAAAAGGTGGGTGCTAGAAACAATATCATACGAAAGCTGACTGGCACAACCTGGGGATCACAACCAGACACAGCGAAGACATCTGCCCTTGCGCTTTGCCACTCTGCTGCTGAGTATGCATGCCCAGTGTGGAACACATCTCACCACACTAAAACAGTAGATGTCAGGGCCGTAGCCAGAAAAAAAATTTCGGGGAGGGTGGAAAATTTTCGGGAGGGTTGAAAATTTCAGGAAGGGTTGAAAATTTCAGGGAGGATTGAAAATTTCGGGGGGGGGGGGTGTGAAAATTTTGGAGGGGGGGTTAGGGTCACGCTGAAGCAAAGAGCCCAGCAGGGGGCAGAGCAGCCTTCAATGGCCTGCAGCTCCGCCCCTGCACCAAGTCTGGCCTCCTTAATGAGAGCATTCAACACCCCCCCCCCCAACTTGGTTGCTTCGCTACATCGGCTATTGCTGCAAGTAATGACAGTGTGAATAAATTGTCAATATTTGCTTGAGATAGTGCTTGCAGTTCTGGAGGGACTCTTAATTTTTTGCGTCTCATAGACTTAGCATGGGGATTTGGTTAACCAGTTAAAATTCATGAGTAAACCAGGTTTTTTTTTAACATGAAAAATTTCGGGGGGGGGGGGGGTTGACCCCTAACACCCCCTCACCACGCTAAAATGGTAGATGTGGCTCTTAATGAAACATGCCGCATTATCACGGGGTGTCTGTGCCCTACACCACTGGAGAAATTACACTGTTTAGCCGGTATTGCATCACCTGACATCCGTCAGGAAGTAGCAGCCAATAGTGAAAGGACCAAGGCAGAGACATCTCCAGCTCATCCCTTGTTTGGGTATCAGCCAGCACGTCAACGACTTAAATCAAGAAATAGTTTTCTAAGATCTACAGAGACACTCGCTGGAACACCTCAGCAAGCGAGAGTCCAAAAGTGGCAGGCTCAAACCCAGAACCTCAATCAATGGCTGATACCAAATGAGAGACTCCCTCCTGGGCACACAGAAAACTGGGCGACTTGGAAGGCGCTGAACAGACTGCGCTCTGGCACCACGAGATGCAGAGCCAAGCTTAAGAAATGGGGCTACAAAGTGGAATCCACGACATGCGAGTGTGGAGGAGAGCAAACCACTGACCACCTGCAATGCAACCTGAGCCGTGCCAATGCACGATGGAGGACCTTCTTGCAGCAACACCAGCGGCACTCCAAGCGGCCAGCTACTGGCCAAAGGACATTTAATGAACTACCAAACTTGCAAACATTGTGTATTGTTTGTTTGTTAAGAAATGCAATGCAACTGTGCGGTCCGCCCCTGACACGACAAATAAATAGCCCAGCATAGGCCCAGCAGCGTCACCCTTGCGATTCTCATTCCCTCCGGCAGAGGCCGCTGTCTGGAGACTCTCACTTCCAGCCGCGGACGGAAGCCAGAGCAAGCGCGGGGGAATCTCGGGCCTGGGCGAGAGTGGCGAGCGCCGGGAGGAGGAGGAGGAGGAGGAGGAGGAGGAAGCGGCGAGGCGAGGCTGAGGGGAGGCCCCGCCGCCCGCCCCTGTCCGGCTCAGGCCTGGAACAGCATGGCCGCCAGCCTCTGGATGGGAGACGTGAGTCAGGCAGGGAGGGAGGAAGCGGGCGCCCGGGGCTTGCAGGAGGCACTGCCTTTCCGGCAGGAACTGTTACTACTATTATATAGTATTACTAGCCGTCCCCTGCCACGCGTTGCTGTGGCCCAGCATGTGTATATGTGTTTTGTGTGTGTATATATATATATTTGTATATATGCGTGTTTGCGTATATATGTGGTTCTGTGCATATATTGTAATATTTTTGTTGTATTTTTGGCTTTTAAGTCTCTTCTGCTGTGTTTTTCAATGATTTTATGTGTGATGGTCACTCGTTGGCCTGATAGGTGTATTGTGTCCAAATTTGGTGTCAATTCGTCCAATAGTTTTTGAGTTATGTTAATCCCACAAACTAACATTACATTTTTATTTATGTACTAGCCATCCCCTGCCACGTGTTGCTTTGGCCCAGTCTGTGTATATGTGCTTTGTGTGTGTATATGGTTTGTGTATTTCTGTATGTGTGTGTGTATATATGGTTTAGCACACGTGTTGTAATGTATCTTTCTTTTGCTTTTTAAGTCTCTTCCACTGTGTTTTTCAGTGTTTTTATGGGTGATGGTCACTTGTTCGCCTGAGAGGCGTATTGTGTCCAAATTTGGTGTCAATTCGTCCAGTGGTTTTTGAGTTATGTTAATCCTACAAACGAACATTACATTTTTATTTATATACTAGCCATCCCCTGACACGCGTTGCTGTGGCCCACATGGGGGTTCTGTGTGGGAGGTTTGGACCAATTCTCTCGTTGGTGGGGTTCAGAATGCTCTGTGATTGTAGGTGAACTATAAATCCCAGCAACTACAACTCCCACATGTCAAGATTCTATTTCCCCCAAACTCCACCAGTGTTCACATTTACTTATTTTATTTATTTACTTTACTTCTATACCGCTGTTCTCAGCCCGGAGGCGACTCACGGCGGTTCACAAGACACAGGACACAGCAAAATTCAACACCAATATGAAACAGTTAATAACCTAATCTAATACACAATTAATACACAATTACTATAATAACCATTCACTAAGGTCTCATCACTAAAAACATGATCCAGATTCGTCATCCACTGTTCCATTCCTATGTCATTACCAGTCATTGCACAATTATTCAAACGCCTGCTGAAATAACCAGGTCTTTACTTTCTTGCGGAATACCATTAGAGATGGTGCTAACCTAATATCTGTGGGAAGGGCGTTCCACAGCCGGGAAGCCACCACTGAGAAGGCCCTATCTCTAGTCCCCGCCAGCTGTGTTTGTGACTCTGGCGGGATCGAGAGCAGGGCCTCCCCGGAAGATGTCAAAGTCCTGGTGGGTTCATAGGCCGAGATGCGGTCAGATAGGTAGCTTGGGCCGGAACCGTTTAGGGCTTTAAAGGTCAACACCAGCACTTTGAATTGAGCCCGGTAGCAAATCGGTAGCCAGTGGAGTTGGCACAACAGGGGGGTTGTATGCTCCCTGCGTCCCGCTCCTGTTAGAATCATGGCTGCCGAACGCTGGACTAGTTGAAGCTTCCAAGCCGTCTTCAAAGGCAACACCACGTAGAGAGCGTTGCAGTAGTCTAGGCGGGATGTAACCAGAGCGTGTACTACCGTGGCCAAGTCAGACTTCCCAAGGTACGGGCGCAGCTGGCGCACAAGCTTTAACTGTGCAAATGCTCCCCTGGTCACCGCCGAAACCTGGGGTTCCAGGCTCAGCGATGAATCCAGGATCACACCCAAGCTGCGAACCTGCGTCTTCAGGGGGAGTGCGACCAGCAACACCAAATCCCAGCAACTACAACTCCCAAATGTCATGGTCTATTTTCCCCAAACTCTACCAGTGTTGACATCTGGGCATATTGAATATTCGTGTAGAGCAGGGGTCCCCTAACTCAGGATACGGCCCGCCAAGGGCTTTTATCCGGCCCGCGCGGCCTGGCCTGGCACAAAGCCCCTCGCCGTTTCTCTCTCTCCCTCCAGAGCGGCTTCAGGCGGGGTCGCGGCGGACCAGGCTTCTCCCTCTTTCTTTCTTTCTTTCTTTCTTTCTTTCCTTCTTTCCTTCTTTCCTTCTTTCCTTCCTTCCTTCCTTCCTTCCTTCCTTCCCTTCCCCTTCCTTCTCCTTTCCCCTCCTCCTCCTCCCTCCTTCCTTTCCTTCTTCCTTCCTTCCTCCCCCCCCCCCATGCTGGCCCGGGGAAGCCAGGGCTGCCTGGCCACGCCCACCCGGTGCCGCCTCCGCTTGTTCTCCTGCCGCGGCTGGGAGGGGAACAGGAGGAACCTCATGGCCGCGGATCTTCTGCTGCTGCGCTCCCTTGTTCTCCGTGGCCACGAGACATCGCCAGCTTTCCTCCCAGCCGCACCAGGAGACAAGCGGAGGCGGCACCTGGCCCGGTGTCCCCACAGAGAGAAGGAAGAAGGGAGGGAGGGAAGGAGGGAGAGGAAAGGAGAAGGAAGGGAAGGAAGGAAGGGGAAGGGAAGAGAAAGAGGCAAGGGGAAGGAAGGAAGAAAAGAGGGAGAAGCCTGGTCTGGCCAAGTTTGGTCCAAATCCATCATTGTTTGAGTCCACAGTGATCTCTGGATGTAGGTAAACAACTCCAAAACCAAAGGACACTGCCCACCAAACCCTTCCAGTATTTTCTGTTGGTCATGGGAGAACTGTGTGCCAAGTTTGGTTCAATTCCATCGTTGGTGGGGTTCAGAATGCTCTTTGATAGTAGGTGAACTATAAATCCCAGCAACTACAATTCCCAAATGTCAAGGTCTATTTCCCCCAAACTCCACCAGTGTTCACATTTGGGCATATCGAGTATTTGTGCCAAGTTTGGTCCAGATCCATCATTGTTTGAGTCCACAGTGCATCTCTGGATGTAGGTGAACTACAACTCCAAAACCAAAGGACACTGCCCACCAAACCCTTCCAGTATTTTCTGTTGGTCATGGGAGAACTGTGTGCTAAGTTTGGTTCAATTCCATCGTTGGTGGGTTCAGAATGCTCTTTGATTGTAGGTGAACTATAAATCCCAGCAACTACAATTCCCAAATGTCAAGGTCTATTTCCCCCAAACTCCACCAGTGTCCACATTTGGGCATATTGAGTATTTGTGCCAAGTTTGGTCCAAATCCATCATTGTTTGAGTCCACAGTGATCTCTGGATGTAGGTAAACTACAACTCCAAAACCAAAGGACACTGCCCACAAAACCCTTCCAGTATTTTCTGTTGGTCATGGGAGAACTGTGTGCCAAGTTTGGTTCCATTCCATCGTGTGGGGGGTGGGGGGGGTTCAGAATGTTCTTTGATTATAAATCCCAGTAACTACAACTCCCAAATGTCAAAATCAATTTTTTTGAGTGAAGGACATACATTGGGTTGTTAAGTGTCCAGTGGTTTTTGAGTTCTGTTAATCCCACAAATGAACATTACATTTTTATTTATATAGATTTATTTCTTATATTTATACCCTGCCCTTCTCCCCCTGAAAGGGGACTCATGCCTACATATTCCAAAAAACCACTTTCAAAACGACAGAAAATATAATTTTTTTCCTCATTTTCATTGGAACTATTTTATTTTCAGAAATGCTAAAGCTATCTTTTTCTATGTACTCCTATATTGCTTTCCGCAGCCCATGGTTGGGTGTGTGTTCTCCTTTTATTGGGTGTGTTCTCCTTTTATTTATGGCGGCCCCATGAATTTAATAGGGTTTTCTTTGAGAGGAAATACTCAAAAATAGTTTTCTCAGTTTCTTTCTCTGAAATAGAGCACCTGCTATTCATTTGTGGTTTCCCATCCAAATACTAACCAGAACTGGCCCTGCTTAGCATTCCAGGTCAGAGACATTTAATCTTTCATTGACTTTGCCAGGTATTATTCTTCTGTACAGTCGTCTCTGTGACCCCTGTGACCCAACCTGAACAGGCAGTCCCCAAGTTACAAACAAATTATGTAGTTTTGTCCTCACTGAGGGCTGAACAGTCAACATATTCATGGATTCCCTGCTGTTATATTAAGACTTTTACACATGCTGTGACATGCTTGAAATCAAAATTTCATTTATTTGTAATTAGAAATATATATTTCACAATGTATATTACATATTGTTTTAGTGATTCATCACTATGCTTTATGTTCAGATTGTAATAATAAAAATACATCGTGCATATCAGATATTTACATTACGATTAATAACAGTAGCAAAATAAGACATGTGCAGTGTGCATAGGAATTTGGTCATTGTTTTTTTTAAAAACTATAGTCCGGCCCTCCAGTGGTCTGGGGGACAGTAGTCCGGCCCCCGGTTTAAAAGGTTTGGGGACCCCTGGTGTAGAGTTTGGTCCAGAGCCATCATTGTTTGAGTCCACAGTGATCTCTGGATGTAGGTGAACGAAAACTCCAAAACCAAAGGAAACTGCCCACCAAACCCTTCCAGTATTTTCTGTTGGTCTTGGGAGAACTGCGTGCCAAGTTTAGTTCAATTCCATCGTTGGTGGGGTTCAGAATGCTCTTTGATTGTAGGTGAACTATAAATCCCAGCAACTACAATTCCCAAATGACAAAATCATTTTTTGAGTGAAGGACATACATTGGGTTGTTAGGTGTCTTGTGTCCAAATTTGGTGTCAATTCGTCCAGTGGTTTTTTAATTCTGTTAATCCCACAAACAAACATTACATTTTTATTTATATAGACTAGCTGTACCCCCCACGCATTGCTGTAGCCAACCTTCCCTCCCTCTTTCTCTCCTTTCTTTCTCTCCTTCCTTCCTCCCCCTTTCTTTCATTCCTTCTCTCCTTCCTTCCCTCTTTCACTTATTTCATTCTCTCCCTCCTTCACTCCTTCCTTCTCTACCCTTCTTTCTCTCCTTCCCTCCCTCTTTCTCTCCCTCCTTTTCTCCTTCCTTCCTTCTCTACCTTTCTTTCTTTCCTTCCCTCCTTCTTTCCCTTTTTCTCTCCCTCCTTCTCTCTCTCCTTCTCTCTCTACTCTTCTTTCTTTCCTTCCTTCTCTCCTTTCCTCCTTCCTTACTCCTTTCTGTGTATGTGTTTTGTGTATGTATATGTGTGTTTGTGTATATATATGTGGTTTTGTGTGTGCGTTGTATATTTTATATATATATATATATATATATATATGCTTTTTAAGTCCCTTCTGCTGTGTTTTTATGAGTGGTGGTCACTTGTTGGCATGAGAGGTGTCTTGTGTCCAAATTTGGTGTCAATTAGTCCAGTGGTTTTTGAGTTATTTTAATCCCACAAACGAACATTACATTTTTATTTATATAGACTAGCTGTCCCCTGCCACGCGTTGCTTTGGCCCAGTCTGTGTATATGTGCTTTGTGTGTGTATGTGTGTGTGTGTGTGGACATTACATTTTTATTTATATAGATTCTATTATTATTCTATTATTTTATTATTGTATTATTTATATTATTATATATTTAGTATTATATTATTCTATGTTATTATTATATTTCTATGACCCTCTGTGCATGCTCAGGAACAGTAGCCTAGCTTTACAGTGCTGGATTTCTAATTATTATTATTATTATTATTGATGTATTTTTATTTTTGTCTTTTTAAGTCCCTTCTGTTGTGTCTTCCAGTATTTTTATGAGTGATGGACACTCATTGGCCTGAGAGGTGTATTGTGTCCAAATTTGGTGTCAATTCTCCCAGTGGTTTTTGAGTTATGTTAATCCCATTACATTTTTATTTATATATATAGATAGACTAGCTGTCCACTGTCACGCATGGCTGTGGCCCAGTCTGGTGATCTGGAAAATAATGCGAAAGTGTTGGTTTCTAATATATGTAATTTCTTGATGCTTGTCGGTAAACAGTACTTCTTGTTGTTTCTTTGTCAGTGTTGATGTAGAGATTGTCTGGAAGATGGAACATATTATTGTCGTTCTTTAGGGGTCCCATTCAAATCTATGATATTATATCTGTCATATACATATATCTGTGTGTGTGTGAATCATTCATATCTATCTATCTATGGCTGGATGATTCTTTGTCAGGAGGGCATTGATTATGTTTTCTTGCCCTGGTGAAGAGAGTTGGACTGGATGGCCTTAAGGCAGTGTTTCTCAACCTGGGGGGTCGGGACTCGGGGGGGGGGGGGGGTGTCATGAGGGGGTGTCAGAAGGGTCACCAAAGACCATCAGAAAACACAGTATTTTCTGTTGGTCGTGGGTGTTCTTTGTGGGAGGTTGGCCCAATTCTGTCATTGGTTGGGTTCAGAATGCTCTTTGATTGTAGCTGAACTATAAATCCCAGTAACTACAACTCCCAAATGTCAATGTCAATTTTCCCCAAACTCCATCTGTGTCCATATTTGGGCATATGGAATATTCGTGCCAAGTTTGGTCCAGATCCATCATTGTTTGAGTCCATGGTAGTCTCTGGATGTAGGTGAACTACAACTCCCAAACTCAAGGTCAGTGCCCACCAAACCTTTCTAGTGTTTTCTGTTGGTCAGGGGAGTCCTGTGTGCTACATTCGGTTCAATTCCATCATTGGTGGAGTTCAGAATGCTCTTTGATTGTAGGTGACCTATAAACCCCAGCAACTACAATTCTCAAATGACAAAATCGATTTTTTGAGTGATGGTGTCTTGTATCCAAATTTGGTGTCAATTTGTCCAGTGGTTTTTGAGCTATGTTAATCCCACAAACGAACATTACATTTTTGTATTGTCGAAGGCTTTCATGGCTGGAATCACTAGGTTCTTGTGGGGTTTTTTCGGGCTATAGAGCCATGTTCTAGAGGCATTTCTCCTGACTTTTCGCCTGCATCTATGGCAAGCATCCTCACTACCTCTGAGGATGCTTGCCATAGATGCAGGCGAAACATCAGGAGAAATGCCTCTAGAACATGGCTCTATAGCCCGAAAAAACCCACAAGAACCATTACATTTTCATTTATATAGATGATTATTAGTTATTTTCTATGTACATAACAACACAGCACACATGCCCATTAGATCCAAGTATCCATGGCCCATCTCTGTATATCGGGTGCTTCACAATGACCTAGGATATTGGAGATACATTTCATTATTATTTGATACAGAAGATTGGTACACAGCAAACAAGCTCACTCTGCTGGCTGTTGTATTGGATCACACGTCGGACACTTCCCAAGTGCCTAGGACTTTGTGATGTACCGGCAAATAATGTGTGCTGATCCAAGTAGGATGGCCTTTTGCAGCTGACAGATGGTAATTTTGTCAGCACCGATTGTTTTTAAATATAATTATATTTAACATGTTGTTGTTGTTATGAAAGGTTAAAGGTTTTCCCTGACATTAAATCAAGTTGTATCCAACTCTGGGGGGTGATACTCATCTCCATTTCCAAGCCGAAGATCTGGCATTGTCCATAGACACTTCCAAGGTCATGTGACAAACATGACTGCATGGAGCACTGTTACTATTTATTTTACATGTACATAACATCACAGCACACATTCACATTAGGTCCAAGTGTCTGAGGTTCATCTCTGAATATTGGGCTTTTCCCAAGGGCTGAGGATATCAGAGGTATTTTTACAGAATGTGCATGGTCCAAGAAGCGCCGCCTTCCTTCTACACTACAGCACTACAGCATGTGGATTGATGTTCTGTCCAAATTAAGGCTTTTGAGGTGCCTTTGGACCAGGAAACATGCTGAACTGTGCGAAATCAGGAATAGGCTGTGCCCTTTGGTTAGTGATGTTACTTCTTTCCTTGCAGATTTGTTTTTAGAATATTGCCTTCAGGGAAGTATCAGCCCTTAAATGGATCTTAGTTGTATATATTTCTCGACGTACTGCTACATGACCTCTATTTATGTTTTCTCCTCAGCTGGAACCATACATGGATGAGAACTTCATTTCGAGAGCCTTTGCTACAATGGGAGAGCTAGTTCTGAGTGTGAAAATAATTCGGAATAGATTAACAGGGTATGTCTGATTTGTATTTGTTTTTTTTATCACATATCTATTTTTGTTGTATACCTTCACACACTTTTCATAATAGTAGTGTTTGTGGGAATGTTTACTCTTTTTAGAAAGAATAGCCTAGGAATTAGGATTGGAGCCTGAAACATTTACAATATCTGATCTTGACAGATTAGAGAGATGGGCCAAAACTAACAAAAAGAAGTTCAACAGGGACAAATGCAAGATACTCCACTTTGGCAGAAAAAATGAAATGCAAAGATACAGAATGGGGGACGCCTGGCTCGAGAGCAGTACGTGTGAAAAAGATCTTGGAGTCCTCGTGGACAAGTTAAACATGAGCCAACAATGTGATGTGGCGGCAAAAAAAGCCAATGGGATTTTGGCCTGCATCAATAGGAGCATAGTGTCTAGATCTAGGGAAGTCATGCTACCCCTCTATTCTGCTTTGGTTAGACCACACCTGGAATATTGTGTCCAATTCTGGGCACCACAATTGAAGAGAGATATTGACAAGCTGGAATGTGTCCAGAGGCGGGTGACTAAAATGATCAAGGGTCTGGAGAACAAGCCCTATGAGGAGCGGCTTAAGGAGCTGGGCATGTTTAGCCTGAAGAAGAGAAGGCTGAGAGGAGATATGATAGCCATGTATTAATATGTGAGAGGAAGTCACTGGGAGGAGGGAGCAAGCTTGTTTTCTGCTTCCCTGGAGACTAGGACGCGGAACAATGGCTTCAAACTACAAGAAAGGAGATTCCATCTGAACATTAGGAAGAACTTCCTGACTGTGAGAGCCGTTCAGCAGTGGAACTCTCTGCCCCGGAGTGTGGTGGAGGCTCCTTCTTTGGAAGCTTTTAAACAGAGGCTGGATGGCCATCTGTCAGGGGTGATTTGAATGCAATATTCCTGCTTCTTGGCAGAGGGTTGGACTGGATGGCCCATGAGGTCTCTTCCAACTCTTTGATTCTATGATTCTATGGTCAGATGTCATCAACCACCTTTTGTTGTTAGAGAAAACTCCTTATATAGAGCCAGTCCATTTAGTCAAGCATTTGTTTGCACTGAGTGGCAGCAGCTGTCTGGTGTTTCACACAGTGGTCTTCTCTGGTCTTACCAGTGATTCATTTGGACTGAATCCTATGCTTTGATGTTCATTAAACTCAAAATGCCTTTGTTTTGAGATAAGAACAAGCACAGAGGTTCCTTGCTCCTCAGTCTTGTAATAATTGAAGTAGAAATGTTATATTTTAAACCTTGGATGACTATGCACCTCAGATTCAAGTCCATCTAAGATAGACTCTGTTACTAAGGCTGGAAGGGCCTTTCTCTAAACCATAAGTGAAAATTGTATCACCTTCCAAATGTTGCTGAACTCAAAACATCCTCACTGTCGACTCTGGAAGTTGCTGTTTAATGCCTTCTGTCCCAGTATAAAGCATTGCTGTAGACCACAGTTGTGGAACTTGTCGCTCTTCTGATATTGTGGAACTACAATTTTTCTCTATGCTTGCAGTTTGGACTAGCCTGTTAAGAGTTGCAGTTGAGCACCTCGGATGGCAGGGCCACCAAAAATAAGTTGTTTTTTTTCAGATCTTAAAATACAGACAAATCATATGAAAAAATGATTACCATATTTCACCCCATAATAGTCATCCTTTTTCTCCTTAAAAATTGGGTGTGCACGACTATTACGTGGTGAAAAAATGAGGCCTATGCGGCCTCTCCTCACTGACAGCCGAAAAAGAGCCCACAAGTCTCATCTGCCAGCACAGCTACCAGCATTACAGGGCTTCCTTCAACTTCCAGAAGTCAATGATGGTCTTGTCACTCTGGCTGGCAGGTTCACAGGTGAAGGGTCATCCGCCTGCATGCTTGCCAGGGAGAGCTAGCTCTCGCTCCTTCACTTGCCTGCACACCTACTCTTCTGAGCTACAGGGACTGCTCCAAGAGGCAGACGTGCAGGTGGGGATGTGACTATTATGCAAGGAATCCTAAAATACCAATTTTGGGACCCCTCCCCCCCCCCCAAAGGAGGGTGTGATTCTCATGCAATGGCAACTATTATGTGAAGAAATATGGTATTTAATTTTTGGTCCTCACTTTGCAGAACTATTTTCAGGTATCAATTCATAACAGATGTTTCATGCAGTGCCTCTCTCCTTCCAGGATTCCAGCAGGCTACTGTTTTGTAGAATTTACTGATCTGGCAACTGCAGAAAAATGTTTACACAAAATCAATGGGAAACCCCTCCCTGGTGCCACACCGGTAGGTAAATTACAATACTAAGAGGTCAGGGACAGAATGAAAAGTACAAACACTTGCACTTAGTGGGTTTTACTCCAAGTATAGAATGTATAGAACATGCATAGAATATGCTATGCAGAATTGGTAGAGGGTTAAATGAGGATTCATTTTTTATTAAAATGAAAGTAACCTATACTATGCAAAGGTTATTAATTAAAGGAATCCCAGAAACAGCCTTGGATGTTTGAGGCACATAAACCTGAAGCATTATAATTTGAACAATACTGCAGATTATGTCACTACAAGTGGCAAGCCACCAGCAGCACATTGCACCGAAGTGTTGGCATGGCCATTGTTTTCCCTTTTTGGGAAACCTTCTTAGTAATGTTTTTGTTTCTTTGTTTTAAATATACTCATACCTGTGCATTTTGTGTTTGTTGGCCCTGCTGTAGGAGAATAAAACTTACCTAAACCTCGGTGAAGAGAGGTTTAATTACCCTTATTTCATCACATAATAGTCACACAATTATGTGTGACTATTATGGGAAAAGGGGAAAGGGGGAGCGACTATTATGTGATGAAACATGGTGTGTGTGTGTTCGATCTAAATGTTCTGTCCTGAGCATTTCTCTTGCTGAATAGATTTATGTTTCTGAGGATATGTGTTACTGACTTGGGAAGTCTGACTTGGCCACGGTGATCCACGCTTTGGTTACATCCCGCTTAGATTACTGCAACGCTCTCTACGTGGGGTTGCCTCTGAAGACTGCCCAGAAGCTGCAGCAAGTCCAACGCGTGGCAGCCAGATTACTAACGGGTGCTGGGTACAAGGGAGCACACCACTCCGCTGTTACACCAGCTCCACTGGCTGCCAATTAGCTTCCGAGCACAATTCAAAGTGCAGGTGTTAACCTATAAAGCCCTAAACGACTCCGGCCCTGTTTACCTCTCCGAACGTATTCTCCCCTACGAACCATCAAGATTATTAAGATCTTCCGGAGAGGCCCTGCTCTCGGTCCCACCGGCCTCGCAAGTGCGTCTGGTAGGGACGAGGGACAGGGCCTTCTCGGTGGTGGCCCCGCGACTCTGGAACTCTCTCCCACCGGAGGTCAGAACCGCCCCATCTATCCTGACATTTAGGAAACGGGTGAAGACATGGCTGTGGAGACAGGCTTTTGATGAATGAGACAACACCCTAGGATTCTGGATGGAAGATGATGTATATTTGATTTTAATACGACGATTGACCACCGTAGTTTTATATATAGTGTTATTTTAAATCTGTTACTGTAATTGTGATCTATGATATTTTAATGATTGTATGTGTTTTTTATGGTTGGAAACCGGGCTGAGTCCCTCAAAGAGGTTGAGAAGTTTGGTATAGAAAACTTTGAAATAAATAAATAAATAAATACTGTGAAAATGTACTGGAGTGATATTCCTTTGCAGAGCTTCTGTTTCTCATTTTTCAGATGAAGCGATTTAAATTAAATTATGCCACATATGGAAAACAGCCTGATAATAGGTAAGCAAAATGCTATTGAAATTATTGCCATTATAATATTGTTATGTGTAAGAAAACAGAGGACGTTGAATTACCTATTTTCCATATTATTTATTAAAGCAAATACATACTTCAATAAAGTGTCTTCATTGAATAATTAGAAAGGCAGTATATAAACGTGGTGGACATGCACATACAATCACAGTGAATATATATATCTGCATCTTCTAAAATGCACAATAATCCTTTGTGCAACCATAGTTGTCAAGGGATTTTTCAGTGTGAAACTAATCAGTATTGCTTGGCTGTATGGAACTGCAAATCTGCAGCTTTGATTATCTCAATTCACAAGCAACATCCTGTGATTTTTCCCCTAAATTATTTGTTCATATGTGACTTCCTCCAGTAGCTCCACAATGTGGTCCCTGTTGTTTTATCCTAACTCATAGTTGATAGGTTAGGATAAAAAAATAATTACTGGGTTTAGATTATCCAGTGAACTTTTCAGAGACTGAGGATATGAATCACAGTTTCTCACAGTTCTAATCCAATACTTGCCACTACATTGCAGGTGTGTGTAAAAAAAAAATTCACTTCATCTCCCAGAACCACCCAGTGGTACAGAATTTTGGAATGTTTTGGGGAACGTTTTGCCTTTTAGACTATAGCTCCCATATGTATTCACCATTGGCCCTGCTTGTTAGGAATTCAGCGAGTTAAAGTTGAAAACACCTGGAAGGCTAAAGTGAAGGTTAATGTGATGTCAAACTGCATTAAATCTACATTGCAGATGTGCCCTTAGATTTGCATAGAATGGTGACATACTTGAATTATTTCTTGGCATTTTGCCCCATTCTGAAATTACATGTCACGTAATATGTTCACATACAGGTGTTTGCCCAATGGAATTGTGTCAGAGGGTTTTGTATCACTTTCAAGAGTAATTTCATGTCTTACCCAGTCCAGCCCCCCTCAGGTGCAGGTGCTACCCTGTCATTCCTAGACAAAATGTTTTCCAGAATAGGGAAGATGGGATGGCAATCCAACACATTTGACAGATGCTGGGTTGGGAGAAATTGTTTTCTTCTCAATGCAAAGGCTATACGTCTGGTTTTGTAATTTATTTACTTACTTACTTTTTATCCCGCCTTTCTCTCCATATAGGGACTCAAGGCGGTTAGTAATGGATTGTAGTAATGGAGGTAACTCATACAAATAATCAGTGCATATCGATTCACTCTTGTTAGAACTTATGTGATTACTATCTTCAAATTAATTTCTTATTTCTTCCACCAGCCCAGAATATTCATTGTTTGTTGGAGACCTTTCCCCTGACGTGGATGATGGGATGATCTACGAATTCTTTGTAAAAGTGTACCCTTCATGTAGGGGTGGCAAAGTAGTTGTGGACCAGACGGGTGTTTCCAAGTACGCTTTTTGCTCCTCACTTCTATATCTGGTACTGTATAAGGACAAGAGGAATAAGGCAACTTCAATGCAAAAATATTTCTTTAGGAAGAAAAATATGATTCAAAAAGGTCTAAATTTGTCCTTCAGGTATTGTCGGGTTTTATCTCCCAGCATGGCTTTTCACTTGCTATGTAGTCCAGAGCCATATAAAGGACTGCACTTTGCCTACTGATGGTCTACGTTAGGGGTTTTCCAGCACAATTAAAATCTCATGCTGATTTTTAAAAAATCAAATGCTGAAGTACGAATCTTGGGGTTCAGGAGAAAGATGTGCTTGTATTTAAGACAGTGTTGCCTCTTCATCAAAATGTTTACTTGGCTGTTAAATGGAGGGAACTCTTCTGTGCTGCCATTTTTATTGACATATTCCCTCAAGTATGGTGATGATGCATTCAGTTCACTGGCCTGAGAAAGCGTTAAAGGAAACTAATAGCATTAATTCAAGCCCTCTTATTATTTCACTCGTATTTGTGGATGTGGCACCAACACCTGCAGATCTAGCAGAAGGCGACTCTGACATCCTTACGTTCTCTAATTTTTTATAGAATTTTAAGGGTGAGTTGGAGGTGGCCATATAGTCCAACTCCACACCAGAGCTGTAGAATCCTCAATAGCTTCTCCTTAATGATCTCCGGAAACCATTTTCCAGATGGTTTTTTTTACAATCAAGATGTTTTTCCTTGGCCCCCCAAGCTGAGTGCCTAATGCAGTTTTGTTTCTAGAGGCAGGTTAATCTCAGTTGAGTCTTGGATCTAGATGTATAAACTAAATTTTTGTTAAAACTGATGTTTATGCCTAAAAGTTTGGCCCCATTGATTATCCATTCCAATCAAGGTGGAAAAAGTTAGTTGATGAGAAAATCCTAAACCTTGGATTCTCACCAAATACCATCCTAACTATGGGCTCCAACTAAGGCCCGGGACCGGATACGGCCCTCCAAGGTCATTTACCCGGCCCTCACTCAGGGTCAACCTAAGTCTGAAATGACTTGAAAGCACACAACAACAATAACAGCCCTATTCCATCAGCCAAAAGCAGGCCCATACTTCCCATTGAAATACTAATAAGTTTATATTCGTTAAAATTGTTCTTCGTTTTAATTGTTGTATTGTTTTTTAGTGGTTTTGTTTGCACTACGAATAAGATACATGCAGTGTGCATAGGAATTCATTAAAAAAAATTCAAATTATAATCCGGCCCTCCAACAGTTTGAGGGACTGTGACCTGGCCCTCTGTTTAAATAGTTTGAGGACCCCTGGGCTACACATAAACCAAAGAAAACATACAATCTATCCAGGACACTGAGCTGCAAAACTATCTAAACGCAGCCTCTATTCTTCCAGTGTTCAGAGATAATGGAAGGGTGCTTCTTCCCGCAGAGTACTTAGGCAACCTAATTATCCCAAAACATAGGCGTTCTGTTTGGCTAAATTCAGTGTACTCCCTTCTACTGTACTGGAAGGAAGATAGAACAAAGTACCATACAGTGAACGCCTATGTCCCTGTGGGGCTGAGGCAGTGGAAACCGTGGAGCATGTTTTGTTGTACTGCTCTTTTTATCGAGACCTTCATAAACATTTTATAAAACCAATTTTAGAAAGTTTACCAGTGAGATCTGTAAGGTTTTATGTTGGTTATCTTTCAGCTGACCAACGCCCCAAAATTACTGCTAAAGTTGCTAGCTTTTGTGCAGCAGCAATAGCTTCTCGGCGTAAGATGCTGTCACAGTCTTAGAAGGTTTTAATATTTATTTCAGTTTTTAATAATAATAATAATAATAATAATCAACTTTATTTATACCCCACCACCATCTCCCCAGTAGGGACTCAGAGCGGCTTACATGGGGCCAAGCCCAGACAACATATTACAGCAATAAAATCAAAGCATAAACAAAAACACAACAATATCATCAAAATACATTTTAAAAAACGCAGTCATAAAATAACATTCTAAACACAATCACAATAACGATAACAATGGGCGGGCCACATATACAGGATTAAACAATTAAAAGGCTGTAATGAGATAAAAATAGGAGCAGGACATTTACGGGGAACTCAAAAAACAGAGTTGTGAGGCTAAACTTCCCATTTAGAGGGCGCGAGCTCCAGTAGCAAAAAAGAACATTGAGGGGTGCAAAATGTCATGGTGTGCACCTACTCATCAAAGGCGCAGCGGAAGGGCCAGGTTTTAAGGTTCTTTTTGAACATTTCTAGTGAAGGGGCTTTCGTGATCTCTCCAGGCAATGGTCAATGGGGCCAAACTTTTAGGCATAACATGGTCACTGTAGCATAAAAGTGTTTAATACTGTTTTAACTATCATATTCAATACTGGGTTTCCTAATATTCATTTGAAATTTTTCATCTGATGACATAACGCCCATTATATCTATTTTTGTTTGGGACAACAAAGAGCAAATCTTTGTCCCCTTCCATGGTGAATTTTCCTCAACATTAAGGAGGTTCAGAAAGCGTTTAAAGGTGTGGCCTTTGTCAGGCTTCTCTGAAAAGAGGGAGTTATGCTCCTCTGGATTCTTAGGAGACTTGTTCACCTTTTCCTCCTCTCTCTTTCTCTCTCTTATCTTTCAACAGATGCTATGGTTTTGTGAAATTCTCAGATGAATTGGAACAGAAAAGAGCACTGGTAGAATGCCAAGGGGCTGTCGGTCTTGGTTCTAAACCAATACGCTTGAGTGTTGCCATCACCAAAGCGTAAGTATTCTTGCGAGTGCTACAGTGTGTTGCACCTCTTCCACAAAGCAGGTGGCTTTTGGCGTCCTTGTTAGCATAATGGCTAAATATTAACAGCCGTCCAATATAAAGTGTTCGCCTACTTTCATTTGTGAAAACTGAATTCTGCCTGCGTTGGATTCCAGAATGCCCCATGGAAGCTTGACCTAAACTTTTGTATATAAGTATCTTGGTCCTTTTCTAATTTTGTCCCCTACCTCTATCTTCTTTCTAAAGGAACCGGCTAAAGACTGTTGAGTATAACCATATGTACAACTATAACTACAGCCAGTACTACCAACAGTATCAGAACTACTATGCGCATTGGGGATATGATCAGAACACAGGCAGTTACAGTTATAGCTATCCACAGTATGGCTACACACAAAGTACCATGCAGGTAAGAGCACAGCAAGCCACATTTAGAGGTTTTCTATTCTTTATGCCAAGAGGTTCCTGACATTTGAATCACAGCCTCACTAAAAGTGATACATGTAATAAAACTGCACAGCTATGCAAAGGTTAAAAAGCAACTTGTATGGATGTGACCTGGCTAAGACTTTTACAGGAGAAAACTTCTTTTCATGTGCATTGGTTTATAGTCTCGTTGTCGACACCAGGAGGCTAGTGGATCCAGATGTATTCTGATGACTCTTGGGAATTTTCTTGCCCTGTCTGCTCTGTCTTATAAAGCCTTTATTTTGCATGAGCTGTAATAATGCTCTCCTCATTCTCTCACAACTTACTGTTACAGACCTACGAAGAAGTTGGTGAAGACGCACTAGAAGGTACAACTGATTTATTGTAATTTTGAATTCCAAACATCCATTTGCTTTTATCCAAAGTACCCCAGTTTGAAGATATTCTAGAACAGCAGAGGTCTGAGAAAATTTAAAAGCTTGGGAAATATGCAGGTCGATATGAATAGGGCGATGGATGTGTTACTTGACTGCTGGATTATTTCCTATGGCTCTCCTCATAATTTCCTATAGCATATTTTAGTACTTCTGATGCAATAGAACACCTTTTTTTTCAACTGTGGGTCCTGATCCCAAATGGGATCCCCTTATTTCAATGTTGGGGTCATCAAAAGTTGGCAATATTAACGCCACCCATTTACACAAATCTGTTAGCAATAACTTGCTTCAGCTCTACTTCACAAAAAGAGAAATCAGCCTGTTTAGCAAGCTGTGCAAACTTTTTAAATACCTATTTTATGTACTTGTATATCTGGGGTCACATAAAAATTTCTCAGGTAGAAAGGGGTCACAAGTGGAAAAGTTTCAGAAGCCTTGCAATAGAGCTAACTGGATACATAGGTTTTCTTCCATATGTATCTCAGCAAATATATTTTTATTTGATTTGGCCTTTCCATTATATGCTACATTTATATAAAGGAGCCCCCGGTGGTGCAGTGGGTTAAACCACTGAGCTGCTGAGCTTGTTGATTGAAAGGTTGCAGGTGTGAATCCGGGGAACGGCATGAGGTTCTGCTGTCAGCCCCAGCTTCTGCCAACCTAGCAGTTTGAACACATGCAAATGTGAATAGATCGATAGATACTGCTCTGGTGGGAAGGTAACGGCACTCCATGAAGTCATGGCGGCCACATGACCTTGGAGGTGCCTACAGACAGCGCCGGCTCTGGCTTAGAAATGGAGATGAGCACCACACCCCAGAGTTGGACATGACTGTATGTCATGTCAGGGGAAAGCCTTTACCTTTACCTACATTTATATATCCCAGTCCTGCCAAAGCATTTATTGTTTTTCATGAATATGAAACAATGTGTACTGCAGCTGGTTCACTGATATGAAAATCATTTGGAAAATGTAGTTTTAGCAATATTTTTTAATGTGATTAAGAGACAGGAGGGCTTTTCATAAAGTGTTTATGATAGCTGTTCATTCCTTTCCCGAATCATTAAAATACTTCATACATAGGCAAAACCGGTTTGAATTATCATATTGGGGCTTAACAGGTCTGGGGATGAAGAAACATTTTTTGCATACATGCAGCTGTTGTTAAACTAGGAAGTCTCGAATGGACGAGTGTTGTGTTTCATCCATAGCGGGTGACTGTTGTTACAACTTTGAAGAAAGCCATGGTCTTAATATGGTTTGAAATTGAATTTAAATCTAGAGTTGTTGTGGTGACTGTCAGCATAGTTGCCCAGAGGCCTGTAGAAGAGGACTGCTTTTTTGGGTAGGATACACATTGAGTTCTTGGCTGAGATGGGATTTTCCAAGTCGGCTCCTTATTTCAACAATTCATGTTGCTGTGACCTGAAACTCATTGGTGTAGGATTCCTTTTGTTTTCAGACCCAACACCCCAAATGGATGTGGGTGAAGCAAATAAACAGTTCATGGAACAGAGTGAAGAACTCTATGATGCCTTGATAGAATGTCATTGGCAGCCTCTAGACAGTGTCTCCTCAGAGATTCAAGCCATGTAATTTCCTGATCGCTTGTGTGCTGTTTCCAAGTGTGCCCTGGGCTCCGACCAAGTGCATGGAACCTGCAGCTGCATAAGGGATCCTCCCTTTTTGCTCCTGGACCGCTGACTCAAACGTAGAGGGTGGCATTTGGCACTTCCTGTGCACACAGAGTGGCAGTGAAGCATCTTGGTCACCTTTATTCCAAATTCAGACACTCGGTTTTCTTCTTTTCCCCAAGTTTTGACCTTGAAACAGACTTGCTGATCCTTGTCACAGAATTGTAATTTATAAACCTAATAAGGTGTAATGGGGAGGGGGGAATTTACTTATGTGTACATACAATAAAAAAAATATCTTTTGCAGAGGATGTGTTCTCTATTTATTTATTGTTCTTATACCCCGCTACCATCTCCCGCAGGACTCGGTGCGGCTTACAAGAGGCCAAGCCCAACAACATCATAAAAAACAACAATAGCGAAAACAATAAATAACTCATAAGAAGCAAAACAATACAATAATAACACGACACATTTAAAAACATGAGGCAGGGCCAAATGTGAAAATTTAAAATTAAAAAGTTGGGAAGTTCAAAGGGAGATAGGAGGAGTGTTTTGGGGTAGGTGGATGTGCAGACAATTCTAAATCTCTCATAAGGTGCATTAAGGACATATTGCTTAGGATTCCTTATTCTGGGAAGGCACACTGGAACATCCATGTTTTCAAGCTCCTTCTGAAGACTGCCAATGTTGGGGCCTGCCTAATATCCTTAGGGAGGGAGTTCCAGAGTCGTGGGGCCACCACTGAGAAGGCCCTGTCCCTCGTTCCCACCAATCGCGCCTGTGAAGCAGGTGGGGTCGTGAGCAGGGCCTCTCCAGATGAACGAAGAGATCATGTGGGTTTGTATACAGAAATGCAGTCATGGAGGTAGATGGGTCCCAAACCGTTTAGGGCTTTGTAGGTAAGCACCTGCACCTTGATTTGGGCCCGGAAAATGAATGGCAGCCAATGGAGCTCCTTAAACAGGAGGGTTGATCTCTCCCTGTAAGGAGCACCAGTTAACAGCCTGGCCGCCGCCTACTATACCAACTGGAATTTCCAGGCAATTTTCAAGGGCAGCCACACGTAGAGTGCATTACAGTAGTCCAATCTAGAGGTGACTAAGGCATGGACCACCCCGGCCAGATCAGCCTTCACGAGGTACGGTTGCAGTTGGCGCACAAGTCTCAACTGTGCAAAGGCCCTCCCAGCCACCACCAACGCCTGAGCTTTAAACTTGAGTTCTCTATGGCATAAATCAGTATAGTGTTGGGTTGCTGTGAATTTTCTGGGCTGTATTCCAATCTAGTGTTCTCTGTTACACAAATGAATCTCCACAACTGATTTGTGGAAATACCCTATGATCATTGTCATCTGAAGTGACAATGAAGTGAAACTGCCAGATGAAAAGATGCATTTCTTGGGCAGGGAAAGATGGGTTCTGGTTTATTTTGTTCATTTTAAATGTAAATGTGGGCCTGTTCCAAACCAGAAAACACTGCTCTGAGTCTCCATGTGGAGCGAAAAAGGGAGGTATAAATAAACAAACATAATAGAAAAACGGAATCCATAACATAAACATAATAACAGAAAAACAATACAGAGCAATCGAGTTTGAACAATCATTCTACCAGGAAAGCTTGTAACATCTGGGCTTATTTAGCTTTGAACAAGACTGAGCAAGTATTGCATAGGGAGCAGGCCAAAGATTTACCAACAGTTCAACCACCCAGGATTCTAATGATATTAAGCAATTGAGAGAGGCAGTAACAAATAAAATTCATTATTATCGATTAGGATACAATCATATCCCATCTATCTGATATGTCAGTTAGTAAAGTAGATATGTTACTGCACATTAATTCTTTGCCAGAACATTTGGTACTAGAGGCAAAAAGGTTACAAAATAGGAATGGGTTCCTATGCAACAAAAAGAACAATTCAATATGTTTCTGCAAATGTCTTATCCAACACGAACAATGTGTCCATATGAAATGAACCATGTCAGCTAAGCCATGCATAAGTAAACAAAAATATTTTGAATCTTCTAGACTGTTTGAAGCCTTCCTCCAAAATATATCAAAGGATGATTTCAAATTTTACCAGCATCCACTTTTCTTAGATTTCCATTTGTTGACTAAACACATTGATCTAAATGCATTTTTAGCATGCTGGTGATAGCTGCATTTCTTTCCTTTGCTATTCACACACACTTGTTTATCGGAGACTGTTAACAGAGGTATACCTATATTCTCAATATCCTTGCTAAACTGCAAATCCTAGGACTTCAAAGGACGTTGCCCATTTGGGTGCGATGGTTATGCTTGAAGTACAGTAACCTGTTTCTGTTGGGCTGTAGTTCATACTATTATTTTAGCACAGAGCACACACAAGTAAGTAGAATCATAAGAGTTGGAAGAGACCACAAGGGCCATCCAGCCCAATCCCCTGCCATGCAGGAATGCATCATCAAAGCACTCCTGGTTTAAAACCTCCAAAGTAGTGTATCCCACTGCTCTTACTATCAGGAATGTCCTATTTACATGGGAACCAGTGTATATCTGAGGAAAACGCTTTATGTGTTTGGAAATAGAAACTTGAGAAATGTATGGGTTAATGTTAAAATAAGCAGAAGTAAGCAATTTGTGGGACAAGCTGGAAGGAAAAAAAACTACTATATTATAGATGAAACTAAAAAAGTGAAGCAAGAAATCAACTGTTGAAATCAATTTATGTCCCAATTGTAGTTTAGACTTACATGTAATTAGAGATGTATGTTGTGTAGTTTGATATGTAATTATTGTTAGATACGTCTTGAGTTCCATGTATGCATAAGTGTGCTTTTTATTTGTGTGTTTTTCTCTTAAAACTTGTAATTAAAATATGGGGTGGGGGGGGGGTGTATTCCATCAGAATCTGTTTGCAAAGCATTGCAGAAACTTATTCTTTTTCAGATGGAATTCTGTCGTGGTTCTTGAAATACTATGGATTCTTCCATTGCAGAAGCACAGTTTTTGTGTGCAATAAGCAAATCTGTATGCATCCCATCAGCAATGATAGTCTTAAAAAGTTCAAAGAGTGATGCTAGGGGTGATTTGAATGTGTGGAGGAATCAGAGCTGTTAGGCTCAAAAATAACCCTCATATTTCTCACCTGGCATCAGCCACTGATTATGCTGTTTAGCAGGTATTGCACCACCTGACATCTGTCGGGAAGTAACAGCTAGCAATGAAAGGACCAAGTCAGAGACATCTCCAGCCCATCCCCTGTTCGGATATCAGCCAGCATGCCAATGCCTTAAATCAAGAAATCGTTTTCTAAAATGTACAGAGATACTTGCAGGAACACCTCAGCAAGCGAGATTCCAAAAGTGACAGGCAAAAACCTGGAACCTCAATCAGTGGCTGATACTGAATGAGCGACTTGTCAGAGATTGACAATACCCAGCGGAAGGAATGCTAGATCAAGCAGACACTGAGTTGCAAAATAAGGACTCTGCAGGCTTCGAGTTACAAAAGAAACTAAGTTCACTAAGTACATACATCAGACACGTCTTTCTACAGTGAGCTACAATTCAGGAACTAGTCAAAACCGAAAGCCTCTTCACATCTGCTTATCTTCTCTTGCTGAGACTGGCTACTCCCTTCTGTTCTCAGCAAGAAAAAAAATATGGTACTTTTCTCAAGTTCACTTAATCGCAGCCTCAAAGTATAAACATTTCTGCATGGCATTTTCAATTCACAGTGGCACCCATATTTGCAATACATAGAAGCACATTTAAAACACATACATAACTAAATTAATCCTGACAAGACTCCCCCTGGGCACACAGAAAATGGGGTGACTTGGAAGGCACTGAACAGACTCTGCACTGGCACCATGAGATGCAGAGCCAATGTTACGAAGTGGGGCCACAAAGCGCCATCCACGACATGCAAGTGTGCAGAAGAGCACACCACTGACCACCTGCTGCAATGCAACCTGAGCCCTGCCACATGCACAATGGAGGACCTTCTTGCAGCAACAACAGAGGCACTCCAAGTGGCCAGCTACTTGTCAAAGGACATTTAGTACAATGCAAGTTTTTTAACTTTGTGGTATTTCTATATATTATAACTGTATTCTCAATTCGCTTCATGATAAAAGTATTCTCCTCCCTGTGGACAATAGGAATTGCAACGCAGTTGAAGCTGTTGTCCTCCCTGAGCCTGGGGAAAGGTAAAAGGACACCTAAAAGCCAAGGTTTGTACCTAGGCCCAGCTATCTTTACTAAAGAGAGCCAACTGTGGCCTGCCAGGTATTCCTGCAAGACTGCATACCTCTTTATAAAAAACCATAATAATAATAAAACTTTATTTCTACCCCGCCACCATCTCCCCAAGAGACTCGGAGTGGCTTACATGAGGCCAAGCCCAGCAGTACATCAATAAACAAAAGCAATAAACAAAAACAATAAATACAATACAATTAATATAAATCACATATAAACAATAACCAATATTATTATTATTATTATTATTATTATTATTATTATATTATTATTATTATTATTATTAACTTTATTTGTACCCCGCTAGCATCTCCCGAAGGACTCGATGCGGCTTACACAGGCCGAAGCCTCAAACACAATACAGTAAAACATAAACAGTAACACACAAAGATTTAAAAACCTATGGCCGGGCCAAATGTAATAGATTAAAAAATAAACGCTGGGCAAGGGCTAGAAGGCATGATCATCAAGTTTGCAGACGACACCAAATTGGGAGGGATAGCCAATACTCCAGAGGACAGGAGCAGGATTCAAAACGATCTTGACAGATTAGAGAGATGAATGGCCAAAACTAACAAAATGAAGTTCAACAGTGACAAATGCAAGATACTCCACTTAGGCAGGAAAAATGATATGCAAAGATACAGAATGGGGGACAATGCCTGGCTCGAGAGCAGTACGTGTGAAAAAGATCTTGGAGTCCTCGTGGACAGCAAATTAAACATGAGTCAACAATGTGATGTGGCGGCAAAAAAAACCAATGGGATTTTGGCCTGGATCAATAGGAGCATAGTGTCTAGATCTAGGGAAGTCATGCTACCCCTCTATTCTGCTTTGGTTAGACCACACCTGGAATACTGTGTCCAATTCTGGGCACCACAATTCAAGAGAGATATTGACAAGCTGGAATGTGTCCAGAAGAGGGCGACGAAATTGATCAAGGGTCTGGAGAACAAGCCCTATGAGGAGCGACTTAAGGAGCTGGGCATGTTTAGCCTGAAGAAGAGAAGGCTGAGAGGAGATATGATAGCCATGTATAAATATGTGAGAGGAAGCCACAGGAAGGAGGGAGCAAGCTTGTTTTCTGCTTCCCTGGAGACTAGGACGGCATGGAACAATGGCTTCAAACTAGAAGAAAGGAGATTCCATCTGAACATGAGGAAGAACTTCCTGGCTGTGAGAGCCGTTCAGCAGTGGAACTCTCTGCCCCGGAGTGTGGTGAAGGCTCCTTCTTTGGAGGCTTTTAAACAGAGGGTGCTTCTTGGCGGAATGGGGTTGGACTGGATGGCCCATGAGGTCTCTTCCAACTCTATGATTCTATGAATAAGGTAAGATATAACTGGTATAGGGTATTCAAAGAGAGATGAGGGAACGCAATCAATCCTAAACCATTAGTAAAGTGCATTCTGAGGGCATATTGCTGAGAATTTTCCTTATCTCTATCGCTATTGAGGAGGGATGTGTGAAAAAAATGTCTATTCCTTTCCCAAAAAGAAATGTAGAAAACTGCAGCACCGGAAACGCTCGAAATGCTAAATCCGGATGCAGACAACAACCAATCCCGAAACGTGTTTCATCTCCCATGTTCACAAGAGCCAATTGGAGGTGGCGTTCTAAGAAGAGGGAGAAAGAACGCCGAAAGCAAGCAACAGCCAATCCCGAGAGGTGTTTCATCTCCCCTTTTAACAAGAGCCAATCGGAGGCGGTGTTCGAAGACGAGGGCTATAAAAGGCGGCGCCTGGCGAGGCCTCGGCCTTTTCCCCACGGACGTCGGTCGAGGTCGGCTGTTGTGCTTGTTATCCTGCGCGCAATCCGTTGCCATCCTGGTTCGCCTGCACGGCCGGTGGGGTTTTAAGCGGAGATGTCGCTCGCCGAGGTAGCGTGGGCCCCGTGTCGGGGGGAATTGGCGGCCGAACACGGTCCGAAGGCCGGTCAAGCCACTAGGTCCCGAAGCCGGCTGAAGGTCTTTGGCGAAAATGGCGCCTAGGCCTCAGGTAGGCCTTTCCTCTCTAGAATGAGCTCCTCCCTTGTGCTTTCCCATCGAGCAGGCCTGGGCCAACTCCGGCCTTCCCTCCCACAATGTGAAGTAATTGTAATACGATTGGCATGGCTCCTGGATTATGACTTCCTGTCCTGTTTTAATAGTTCGACTAGCCGTCCCCTGCCACGCGTTGCTGTTGATCTGGAAAATAAAGTAATGAGAAAGTGTTGGTTTCTAATATATGTAATTTCTTTATGCTTGTGAGTAAACAGTATTTCTTGCTGTTTCTTTGTCAGTGTTGATATGGAGAGTGTCTGGTTTGCCTACTCTGGTACATGCAACATCTCATTGTCCTCCTTTAAGGGTCCCTTTCAAATCTATGATACTATATCTGTGTGTGAATCATATCTATCTATATCTATGGCTGGATGGCTCTTTGTCAGAAGGACTTTGATTATGTTTTCTTACCCTGATGAAGAGAGTTGGATTGGATGGCCTTAAGTATTTTCTGTTGGTCATGGGGGTTCTGTGTGGGAAGTTTGCCCCAATCCTGTCGTTCATGGGGTTCGGAATGCTCTGATTGTATGTGAACTGTGTATCCCAGTGACTACAACTCCCAAATGTCAAGGTCTATTTCCCTCAAACTCCATCTGTATTCATATTTGGGCGTATTGAGTGCTTGTGCCAAGTTTGGTCCAGATCCATCCTTGTTTGAGTCCACAGTGCTCTCTGGATGTAGGTGAACTACAACTCTCAAACTCGAGATCAATGCCCACCAAACCCTTCCAGTATTTTCTGTTGGTCATAGGAGTTCTGTGTGCCACGTTTGGTTCAATTCCATCATTGATTGAGTTCAGCATGCTCTTTGATTGTAGGTGAACTATAAATCCTGGCAACTACAACTCCCAAATGACTATCATAATTTTTGAGTGATGATTACACCTTGTGTTGTGAGAAGTTTTGCCAAATTTGGTGTGATTTCGTTCATTGGTTCTTTTGTTTTTGAGGTACTCATTATGCACAGAACATTTTTATATATAAATATATAAAAATAAATCTATAGAAATAAAAATGTAATATTCGTTTGTGGGATTAACTGAACTCAAAAACCGCTGGACGAATTGCCAACAAATTTGGCCACAAGACACCTACTAACCCAAGGTGTGACCATCACTCAAAAAATTGATTTCATCATTTGGGAGTTGTAGTTGCTGAGATTTATAGTTCATCTACAATCGGAGAGCATTCTGAACCTCACCAATGATGGAATTGGGCCAAAGGTGGCACACAGGACTCCCATGACCAACAGAAAACACTAGAAGGGTTTGGTGGGCATTGACCTTGAGTTTGAGAGTTGTAGTTTACCTACATCCAGCGAGCACTGTGGAATCAAACAATGATGGATCTGGACCAAACTTGGCACAAATATTCAATATTCCCAAATATGAAGACAGATGGTGTTTGGGGGAACTACAACATTTAAGAGTTGTAGTTACTGGGATTTATAGTTCAGCTACAATCATAGAGCGTTCTGAACCCCACTAATGACAGAATTGGGGCAAACCTCCCACAAAGAACACCCACAACCAACAGAAAACACTTAAGGCCATCCAGCCATAGATATAGATAGATACAGTATATTCTGGCGTATAAGACTACTTTTTAACCCAAGAAAATCTTCTCAAAAGTCAGGGGTCGTCTTATACGCGGGTGTAGTCTTATGCATGGGAGTCGTCTTAACTCTATATTTTAACTGGAAAAGTTGGGGGTCGTCTTATATGCCGGAATATATGGGTATATTATTCATACACACAGAGATACAGTATCATAGATTTGAAAGGGACCCTTAAAGAAGGACAATGATATGTTGCATGTTCCAGGGTGGGCAAACCAGACAATCTCCACATCAACACTGACAAAGAAACAAGAAATACTCTTTACCCACAAGCATAAAGAAATTACATATATTGGAAACCAGCACTTTCTCATATAAATGGCCTTATCTAGGACTCCTGGTTTAGTTCTTCCCAGTCCTTCTAATGTGTGTTTCTTTATTGTTCATTGCAGCCTATGTGTCACATTTTCGGAAACAGATGTCTCAATAAAATATGGATCCATTCCCCATACCGATGCTTCTTTGCCTTTGTGGAACCCTGACTAGCAGCAAATGACCTTATGGTAAGTGTTATAACCTTTTGATGTCAGTGCTGCTTGTAGCTGTTTTGTGGAACCATCCTCTGCGGAGCTTCCTGGACTTTTCTGCTCAGCATTGGTTGAGTGGAATATTTGTGTCCTAGCAAAGAAGGCACTGCCATATGAAATCCAGATTTTCTGCTTTAAACTGGATTATATGGCAGCGTAGACTCATATAATCTAGTTCAAAGCAGATAATGTGGATTATCTGCTTTGATAACCTGAATTATATGGCAGTGTAGAAGGGGCCTGCCTCTTCACGGCCCTCTCGAAGCTGTGTCTGTCTCTTTATGTGGCTGATGCGGTCAAAAAGGTGCCAAAAATAACTTTTCTCTTGACGGTCGCTGTTCAGTTGGTTCTCCTATAACTGTCCAGCAACAATTTTGGGGAAAAACATTGGTGATTCTGAGTAACAGTACTGTGCAGCTCACATATAAGACTAGGTGGAAAGGTTGGGTTCTAGATGAAAAGGGAATGTGTTATCAAACTTATGATTTTGGACTGGGATTTCGTAGAGATGCCATTTTAGTGTATTTACTATATTTTAAGTGTTTTGCCACACTATTGTAATTTTTGTATTGGTCTTTTTAAATTTGGCTAGTGTGGGTAGATATTAGCTGTCTTGAGTCCACATCAGGAGAAAGGTGGGATATAAATAAAGATAATAACACCATTCACCTGTAAAGAGCCCAGTGGGTGTTCTATAGTCCAGACTATCTGTTTTGAACTGGATTATATGGCAGTGTAGATCCAACCATAGTTTCCCATGCATCTTAGGCTAACTTGCCTAAGATGGTTGTGAGGATAGTGTGATGGGTGGTGAAACCCATTCCTTTCTGAGCAGGAATAGTATAAATATATAAAAAGTACACGTCGTTGTTCAATTTTTTAAAAAATCAAATTTACAAGACACAAAACTTGTGTAGTCGCATAGAAGAACTTAATTTTTCAAAATTACTGCACAAAATTTTAGAGATATCAAGTTAAACCATAAATAAATGCATGTTGAAGTAAGAAATTACATATAAAACTGCTTGCAAACATCCTGTTTTAATATAGGGTGAAGCAGCATGACTTCCTTTTTTAAAATGTGCACCATTCAGTCGGTTGAAGACTTAGCGGAGCGCTAGTGGGCTCGTTCGAGAGGCGGGAGTATAAAGTTTTGTCCTGACACAGTACAGTTGCCATCACTGTGTGCTTTTGCCGAAAAGGCCTACTTTTCGAACGGATTTGGAGTGGCCGGCCCGCTCTCCAGATTTGGCCCCTTGTGATTTTTTTCAATGGGGTTTTTGGAAATCCCGTGTATCTGTGAACCGTCCAAGGACCCCACAAGATTTGAAAACCAACATCCAGGAAGAAATTGCCAACATAACGCCTGCTATGCAAACGCCAGAAATTGGTTTATTTTATTTATTTATTTACGGCATTTATATGCCACCCTTCTCACCCCGAAGGGGACTCAGCAGCTTACAATATATATTTTCATACAATATCTTATATTACTAGCATAGTACAATATCAGTATTATATATTACTATATTGCACTATACCATTATATTGTAATATTATTAATAATATTACATGTAATGTAAATATATAGTTATATTTTATTATTACTAGTATTATATTGTATTACATTATAATATTATAAATTTTATATGTATATACAATATATTATATTATTAGTAAAGACAACATGGAAATGTCTTCTCCCCTCTGTCTTCGCATTCTCAGTGTATGGAGAATGGGGGACGTCACCTACCTAATTTGATCTTCAAAACTACGTAGAACAAAACTTTAGGTATGCGCCTACATTATTAAAAAAATTCAAGTCAGGAATAGCGTTAAGCCTTGCAAGTATTTGTTTTCACCCTTTATAAAACCTTTACCAAGTCTATTAGATTGAGGGCATGGAGAAAACTGATGAGGAAAGAATGCACCTGATACACAGAAAGATGGAGGTGACAGGTGAGTTAATAGCATAGCCTTTTGTTTCAACTCTTGCCACTGTGTTCCCTTTCCAGGACTGAGGACATAAAGGAATCTTGCGCCTTTTCTCATGGAGGTTCCTTGAGTTCTGTTCAGAGCACAGGTAAGAGAAAACTTGGTTCAACCTCAGTGTTAGTATTTGGAATATAAATACCGTGTTGATTTTATTCTTTTTAGAAATTCAGCCCACTTTATTGCTGGCAAGTAGCCTGCATGTTAAACCAAGAGCTGTGGCTTAGCGTGATAGCCGCAGGATCTCCAACAGCATGCGAGAACAAAATGGGAGTGACTTTGACTTCTCAGTCTTTTCTTAGCTGCAGATGTCACTCGCCTCTCCTACAAGCAGGGTTTTCCCATTAAGACAAGTCTAGATTTTCCCAGTCTCGTTTCTGTACCCTTGAAGTGCTTGATTAGAAGCGACAGAACAGAGCTGATGATACTGCATACAGTGCCTTTTCCTGGCCAGGGAGCTTTCTTCTCCCTTCTGTCCATGAAGGCAAATGGTTTTGATTTGTATGTTTTCCATAAATATACTAGATTTAAACAGCTCTGCTTAAGTAGGCTGAGTGGATTATCTGGTGCAGAATTTTCCTTAAAATGTTGGTTGTTTTTTCTTCCTGTTATTACTAGGTATCTTTGGAGTCAAGTGATAACATTGTCTCGTCATAGGCAATCGGGCTTACTAACAGTAAGGCATGCAAGGTAATGTATAGATTTTATTCACATGTATGTCAGTCCTACAAGAGAAAAAGGAAGAGATAAAAATACAATATCCTCCCTATCCCTTTCCCATTAGATCGGAATACTGATCTCATGGTCAAGAAGGAGGGAAAGTAAAATGGAAGATGGCCCTCACATCTTTGCTGGGGCAAATCCTGCATTGAACTGGGCTAGCTTGAAACAGTTTTTGATCGGTTGCTGCTATGCTAATCTCATGAAATAAGACATCACGAGTGACACTTGTTCACTTCTTGTTGTTTTATTATGTTTTTATATGGTTCTGCTTTTTAAACGGGAATCAAGATTGATTGTGGCAAGTCTATTTTGTTCTCAACACTCCCCTGAAATAGGTTAACTTGCACAAAATCATCCAACTCCTTATCTAGATCCCCTGACCATTTGTCTTCTGACTGAATTTATCTGTCGTAGCAAGAGAAACAGAAAGTCTCCTTGTACCATAAAGAGACTTTGGTGCCACATAGAATATTATAGTTTCTAACATGACACTATTATTATTTTATTATTATTAACTTTATTCGTACCCCACTAACATCTCCCGAAGGACTCGATGCGGCTTACACAGGCCAAGGCCTCAATAAAACAGCATTATAACAAATACACATAAACCAAAAGCAAATCAAAACATTAAGCAATAACAGTAAAAACAGTACACTGTAGCACAATAAAAACTAGGCCGGGCCAAATGTGATGGGTACAAATTAAAAAGTGCTGGATATGCTGAGTGAGATATAAGGATTTTTGGATAAGTGCAATGTGCGGACAATCTTAATCACTAATAAAGTGCTTCTGGGACGTGTTGCTGGGGTTTCCTATTCACTACAGTAGATTTTATTAGATAATGTATTTTAAATGGCTGTTCTTTTCTGTGGATACATCACTTAGGATGGGAGGAAATGAACTTCAACAAATCCTTAATTTGTTTTTGTAAAGAGGAGTTGGAGTAGGATGTTAACATATTTTGAGTTGGAATCATAGAGTTGGAAAATACCACAAGATTTCTTGACTTTGCTACAGTGTAGTTGAGATTGTGATCCTATGATTGTTCACTTGGACATTGTGAATGTTTATTTAAGATATGGTTCATTTCCTAATATTGTTTGTTTCTTATAGAAATGGTTGTGCAGAGTGATGAACTGCGTGTTCCTCTGAAAAGAATCTTCAACTTGGTCGATGTCTTAGGTAATATGTAAGAATCATTGTTTTTCGTAGTTTCATTTTTAAGTGATTGATTCATGTTTTTATTTGTTTTGGACAAAATGTCGTTGCCAGTAACAAAATGTTGGGAAAGTAGTGCTTTTGGAGGGCAGTTGCTAGAATCACCCAGTCATGTTGGCTGGGTAATTCTAGTACTGGTTACTAACTAGAGTACAAAATAATTATTTGAGCACTAGAGTACAAAATAATTTGTTGCCAGATCTGGCAATAAAGAACTGAAAACTTGCTGCTGCTAGAGTAGGAATACTTTGATTGTGCTTTTCCTGCATGGCAGTGGGTTGGACTAGATGGCCCATGTGGTATCTTCTATGATGGTGGCATATGCTGCGTGAAGCAGCATCTCTGACTGGTCTGTGATGACTCATGTTTCTAATGGTGACAGCTGGATGAATCCTGCGGATATGGGGCTGAGACCAGCTGTGGATAACCTTGGAAATTGTTCTTTCAAAGGACAAAATCTCCTGTGATTGAGCCTGGACCTTTTCTGAAATGTGGGAGTAACAGAGTGGTCCTCTTTTGTAAGGCATTGCTAGACCTTGTACAAACTGAATTTTGGGGTTCATCTACAATGTAGAATAAATGCAGTTTACACCAATTAAATTGCCATGGCTCAGTGCTATGGCCACAGCCTTCTGCTGGTGCCTCACCAACTACAAACCCCAGGATTCCATAGTGTTGGTGATTGAAATTAAAATTGGAACAGAAGTCCTCATGATTTATTTCCCTTGCTTTTCGAGTATCTAAGTATTCTGTGGTGTAGATTGGGGTGGGTAGGGTAGAGTTTGTTGTGATTTATACGAAAGCTAACCCAGAAAATGTGCAGTCCTGTCCAGACTTCCCAGCCCTTTGTTCATCCACAAAGAGTAAATATGAGCCAAGTAAATGGGAAAAAACAAAACTTAGGTAACAGAATTAAATAAACAGCTTCACAAAAATATCCAGCTTTGAAAATAACTCCGTCCATTTGCAGAAATAAAACTCACACAAAGTCCTATGCATTAAATCCATGCATCTTCTTCCTCAATGGTGCAAGGAGACAAGTCTTGAAGCAAATGGTTCAGTAAGTCCCAAAATCCATTAGAAAAACTAAGTTATACTCCATTCAAGGAGTGATTCAAACTTGATTGCTTCAATTATCCAGGTGTTTTCCCTCAACACACACACAGGAGACGATCCTTACAAAAACTTATATGCATATACTGTAACAGAGTTTGGGATTCTGGAATATATTGCTGTACCTGGGAGATCTGGAGTAGGAATCATGGCTTAGGCAGGGGGACCTAGTGGGGGCATTGTATTGTTGATGTACCGTAATGCACAGTAAAGGGGGGGGGGCAGGCAGGCTACAGTTGGATAGCACTGAATTTGCATAATCTCAAATGTTCATAATGGGTTCTTGAGAAGTCCTTCACTCCTAGATTCAAAGTGAACCCTATCAGCAACCACCAGAATTGAGATCACAAGTGGTTTCACACCATAATCCACTTCCATTTTTCATCATTCTAATGGTAGTGGGGTGTTTACTGGCTATTGATACAAATGGGAGTTGATGGTATTATACAAATTATTTTCAGTAATCTTGCAGATGTACTGCAAATTATCCAGAAATGTATTCATAGCTCTGTCTTCCACTTCAGTTGAAAATAGCTGCATATTTATAACTTTGGAGTAACCAGTTATCTTTTCTAGGTCTTCAGAGACGCCTTGGAATTCGTCATGGAACAAACATAAGAACTCATCTACTGGCAATTTTGGGAGGATCTGTAGAGCTATGAGTAAAATAGTCATATTTCCATGCCTGTTTTATTAAAGAATGTTTTTAAAAATAATGAAAAACAGCCTTCAGTCTCTTGTTTACTTTGCTAAGTGGTTTGACTTATAATGTGCCTTGTCTTCTTTATTAGAGTTAATGTCATGTCTGTGAACCAAAGTATATTTGGTGAATAAGCTATAAAGATTTAATTTATACATTTACTGATTCTTAAGGCGTAGGACTAGTCCAAACTAGAATGTCTCCTGAATGTCAACTCTGTGAATGTTCAGTGAAAATGTATGGAAACCTTGTAAATTTTATTTATTTATTTATTAATCAATTTTATATACCGCCACTCCCCGAAGGCTTGGAGCGAAGGCCTGAACCCTGCCACATGCACAATGGAGGACTTCCCTACAGAGACTCCAGTGGCACTCCAAGTTGTCAGCTAGTGGTCAAAGGACATTTTATTTATTTATTTATTAATCAATTTCATATACCGCCACTCCCCAAAGTTTCGGAGCGGTTTACAATATACATATGTGATACCATACATTTAAAATCAAAGAAAAAATTCAATCAGCAAGATTCAAATGCCAGCCTAAATAAATAAGTTTTACAAGCTCTACAAAAAGATAGTAAGTCTCGGAGAGCTCGTGTTTCCGCTGGCAAGGCATTCCACAGGTAAGGAGCCACCACCGTGAATGCTCTACGCCTAGTAGACATCAGGTGAAAGGGCCTAAAACTGGGAACTTCAAGGAGATTCTGGAGTGATCTCGAGGGTTGGTAGGGGGTGAGGCAGTCCCTCAGGTACTCCGGCCCCAGGCCATGTAAGGCCTTACAAGTAAGAATCAGCACTTTGAAGGTAATCCGGTGCTCAATCAGCAACCTGTGCAGTTGCTGCAAGATTGGAGTGATATGACACCTCGTTGGGAGCCCTGCGAGAAGCCGGGCAGCAGCATTTTGCGCTAGTTTAAGTTTCTGGGTCACCGATAAAGGCAGGCCTATGTAGAGGGCATTACAGTAGTCCAACCGTAGCCTGGACAGATAGGGAGCATGATGACTTTTCTAACTGGGACTAGTACTTCCATTTCGGCCAATACTTTGGGTTGTTTTCAATCAAAAAGTGTATGACCTGGATCCGAATGCAAAAACATCTCAAATACATTCTGAGCCTAGACATTTGTTTCCAGTGCCGAAACTGAACTGAGTGTATATATAGAAAAGTCATTACTGCTTGTTCCAAACTCCTTTATTTTGCAGCATAATTTAGATAATTACAAATGAACTGTTGCCATTGCTAAGACAATTAGAAGTTGCAAAAGCCCATCAACTCTAAACACACCCGGTCTGCTAGTGGAACCCAATTTATTATTATTAACTTTATTTGTACCCCGCTAGCATCTTCCGAAGGACTCGATGCGGCTTACACAGGCCAAGGCCTCAATAAAACAACAGCATAACAAAACACATAACTTAAAGCAAATCAAACAATAAAACAATAGCAGTAAACAGTAAAAACAATACACCACGACACAATAAAACTAGGCCGGGCCAAATGTAATGGGTACAGATTAAAAAGTGCTGGGTGTGATAGGTGGATGTAGGATTTTAAGGTAAGTGCACTGTGCAGACAATCTTAAAACTCTGATAAAATGCTTCTGGGACATATTGCTGGAGTTCCTATTCTGGAAAGGCACGTCGGAACAGCCAGGTCTTCAAATTCTTCCTAAAGACTGCCAACGTAGGGGCTTGTCTGGTGTCTTTGCGGCCTCTCCGGATTAGTGAAGAGAACTCGTGGGTTCATAAACGGGGATGCGGTCACGCAGGCAGGCTGGTCCCAAACCGTTTAGGGCTTTGTAGGCAAGTACCTGCACCTTGAATTGGGATCGGAAAATAAACGGCAGTTAATGGAGCTCCTTGAACAGGAGGGTTGACCTCTGTAAGGAGCACCAGTTAACATCCTGGCAGTGGCCGCCCGATGGACCACTTGAAATTTCCGAGCCGTTTTCAAGGGCAGCCCCACATAGAGTGCATTACAGTAGTCCAATCTAGAGGTGACCAAGACATGGACCACCCCGGCCAGATCAGCCTTTCCGAGGTATGGTCGCAGTTAGCACACGAGTCTCAATTGTGCAAAAGCCCTCCCGGACACTGCCGACGCCTAAGCCTCAAGCGTAAGTGATGAATCCAAGAGGACTCCCAAACTGCGGACCTGTGACTTCAGGGGGAGTGCAACCCCGTCCAGCACAGGTTGCCACCCTATACCCCGATCCGGTTTACGATCGACCAGGAGGACCTCTGTCTTGTCGGGTCCTCCTCATCCAGATAGCCACAGTGGCCAGGCACTCGTCCAGCACTCGATGGGCTTCCTTGGAATTAGGTGGAAATGAGTAGTAGAGTTGTGTGTCATCTGCATAGAGATGGCACCTAACTCCAAAACTCCGGATGACCTCTCCCAGTGGTTTCATGTAAATGTTAAAAAGCATAGGAGACAAAATAGAGCCTTGCGGGACCCCACAGGTCAAAGGCCAGGGGTCCGAGCAGGCATCTCCCAGCTTCACCATCTGGGATCGACCCTCCAGGAAGGACCGGAGCCACGACAAAACTGTGCCCCCGAGACCCATCCCAGAGAGTCAACCCAGAAGGATACCATGATCGATGGTATCGAAAGCCGCTGAGATGTCCAAGAGAACCAACAGGTCACACTCCCCCTGTCCAGCTCTCTACGGAGGTCATCCACCAAGGCGACCAAGGCCGTCTCAGTGCCGTGACCAGGCCTGAAACCAGACTGTGACTGATTTAGGTAGCTGTTGTCATCTAGAAAGCCCTGAAGCTGGGAGGCGACCACCCGCTTCAGCACCTTGCCCAGAAAAGGGAGGTTGGAGATCGGTCTGAAGTTGTTCAGCACCGTGGAGTCAAGGGAGACCTTTTTAAGGAGTGGACGAACCACAGCTTGTTTTAGTCAGGATGGAAAAAACCCCTGCTCCAGTGATGCATTAATGATCAACACAAACCAATCAACCAACCCCTCTCTGGCCGATTTAATTAGCCAAGACGGGCAAGGGTCTAGAGCCGACGTGGTCGCCCTCACAGCACCAAGGACCTCCTCCACGGTCTCAGGAAGAACAAGCCTAATTTACTTCCCATTTTGCCTTAGGAAAGAGATCCATAACTTCTAGAGCCATTTCCCAGCATTCTGATCTGCAGCTCTGTGGAAATTCTCTGTTTGGGGCATTGTCTGTTTTTAAGAGGTGGTTTTTTTTTGGTCGTGTCCAAGCACGAATGTCTGTGGTTTAGTTTCAGAAATTCTAAATAGGATGCCAGAGAGAGCTGCATCTTCAGGAAATACAGCTGGAAGGAGTTCAGAGCTTCCACAACCTGCAAGTCACCCATATTGTTGGGCCAGCAAATACATAAGAGGACAGTCTGTAGCTGATACTGTTCTGGCTTCCTCTTTCAAGCTTGCATTCTTTTAACATGTTAAATGCTAGTTGGAAGGTAAGGTAGATGGTTTTGTTCATGGCTTTTAACTGGTTTCCTAGCAAATGTGCAAGATCAATGAAATAGGAACTTTAGCTTCAGTGTAGATGTTTTAGAATTAACAAATTACTAGTTTTTTAATATACAAGTGCTTATGCAAACATTTCTGGGCTGGTGGGTTTAGTGATTTAGTGGCATTTTTAAGATACGCTGGTTTTGCTTCATTGAATACTGATACCGATTCTCACACTTTAATATTATATAGCTTTAGTCACATTAGGAGCAATGAAATCTCAATCAAGAGAACATTAGAAAGGCCTTGCTGGGCCACAGTGAAGGCCTGTCTCATGAACAGTTTTATTTCCATACTAGCTTGAGTATCCAGCAATGCCTGAGTTAGGTATTTTGTAATGATGTTAGAAGTAGTCACTGTTTTTGGGATTTATGAACGGTCCCATTACAACTACAACTCCCATAATCCTTAGTCAATCCCCCCCTCCACAAAAATGTTGGGTCTGTGTTCCAGGTTGGGTGCTCTCTGGATGTGGGTGAGCGCTCTCTGGATTTATTTATTTATCGTGTCAGGAGCAACCAGACATTTGTATTACATTTTTAACAAAACAAACAGACAAAACACAAAGTTTGCAAGCTTGGTAGCTGATTAAATGTCCTTTGACCAGTATCTGGCCACTTGGAGTGCCTCTGGTGTTGCCGCAAGAAGGTCCTCCATCGTGCATGTGGCATGGCTCAGGTTGCATTGCAGCAGGTGGATTGTGGTTTGCTCTTCTCCACACTCGCATGTCGTGAATTCCACTTTGTGGCCCCATTTCTTAAGATTGGCTCTGCATCTCATGGTGCCAGTCTGTTCAGCGTCCTCCAAGTCGCCCAGTTTTCTGTGTGCCCAGGGGGGAGTCTCTCATTTGGTATCAGCCATTGATTGAGGTTCTGGGTTTGAGCCTGCCACTTTTGGACTCTTGCTTGCTGAGGTGTTCCAGCGAGTGTCTCTGTAGATCTTAGAAAACTATTTCTTCATTTAAGTCGTTGACGTGCTGGCTGATACCCAAACGGGATGAGCTGGAGATGTCACTGCCTTTGTTCTTTCACTATTGGCTGCTACTTCCTGACGGATGTCAGGTGGTGCGATACCGGCTAGACAGTGTAGTTTCTCCAGTGGTGTAGGGCGCAGACACCCCGTGATAATGCGGCATGTCTCATTAAGAGCCACATCCACTGTTTTAGCGTGGTGAGATGTGTTCCACACTGGGCATGCATACTCAGCAGCAGAGTAGCATAGCACAAACACCCCAGGGGTGTTCATCCTTCCCTGTTATCCAAAGCTGATATATATATATAGAGAGAAGGGTGAACACCCCTGTGGTCTTTGTGTCGCTGCCTGTGCCCCCCATTCAGAAGATTTCACCTCTCTTTCTGCCCCTTTGCTCATTGGATTTTTAAAAATTTGACTTGTGGAACCAAGGATATACAGTTTCAGTGGAGACCCCTTTTCCCCATGAAAATAACTTCAGGAGTGAATATTTTTATTTATTTGCAGTATTTGTATACCGCTTTTCTCACCCCGAGGGGAACTTCCCTTCCTAGCGGTAGATTTCTCTCACTTCCTGTTGTCTCATCCCTGTTCTTAACTAGGAGTTGTTTATAAGCTGGATGTTTGTAATTTGAGGACTGCCTGTATGTATAGATTGACCAGTCAGGTGTTTGCAGGCAGAACACAAGTGAGTATGATTTAGGTAATTGGGTATTTGTGTTACCTGGCTTTTTGAGCAAGCTTTCGCTAATGCAGCATAATCTGGCAAATATGACATCATTGAATGACTTGACAATACAATTGGATAATAACTTTGGTAAGGAGACGCTTATGATAATAATTTTATGTCTTTATACTGTCTTTATACTATATGCTAAATGTTTTAATAGAATTTTATGACTATTTTAATTTTTTTTATTGTTGTGGCATCAAATTATTGCTAACTGTGAACCGCCTTGAGTCGCCTCCAGGCTGAGAAATGTGGTATACAAATATGGTAAATAAATAAACAAAATTAGTTTTTATTATGTCTTATTGAACGTGCATTTGGTAATAGTATGAAAGCTGGGTCCGGAAGCTCTGAGCCTTACGCTCTTTCCGCTTCGCTCCTTTGGGAGCGCTGTTTGCGCAACGCAGAACAGAACACAGATATAGAAGGAATGTAAGAATTCTTTAATGGTAAAACCCTTACCCGAACCCCTTTGAGAGATTTAAAATAGTCTTTCTCTGTCCATGTGGATAATCTCCTTCAGCAGCTCATGAAGCAAGTGTACTATCTCTCTCTGCTAGGCTTGTTTGATCAAGAAAAAAAAAAGGTTTTGAAATCGTTTCGTATGTAGGGGGCGCTGGAAGTCGTTTTTAAAATTATTTCCGAAATTTTCCTTTACAAAAGATCGAAATTACCAGGAAATACGAATTGTTTCGTTTGTTTCGTTAATGGAAGGTGCCCTTCCCCCCCTCTAGAACCATTAAAATCTCACAGTTTCCCTTCCAGCCATTGCGGCAGAAGGGAGAGGTGGGCGTGGCCAATCACAGGGCTCCTCGGAGGCCTCGCCCCCAGCCACCTCCAAGCAAGGAGCCCTGTGCTCGGCCACTCCCAGCTCTCCCTTGGACAGCTGGCCAGGGAGGAGAAGAAAGGGGACGGATTTTAAAAGTGTTGGTCTTTAAATCCGTCCCCTTTCTTCTCCTCCCTGGCCAGCTGTCCAAGGGAGAGGTGGGCGTGGCCAAGCACAGGGCTCCTCCCAGGCCTGTTCCTAAAAGCCACGCCCCCAGCATTTACGATTCACTGGTGGACGTCGTAAGGAAGATGGGGGCGTGGCTTCGTTATTGCAAAAACACTTCCGGGTTCCCAGAAAGCCTCAAAATCGCTTCTAATTATAAAAAAAAACGAATACATAACGAGTTACAAAAATAACGATCTGGATCAAACAACCCTACTCTCTGCTTCTCTCTTCAAACTGTCTGTCTTTGCACCTGCACAGCTCAAGCCTGAACAAAAATGCAACAGTATCCAAAAGTCCCAGGCTCAGCCTGTTCCCCAGGCATTGCCCAACCAATCAGCTTCATGCATCTTATTTTGCAGATCACTTCTGAACCAGTTGCTATCCCTTTAAGTCCAGCCTATTGTTATGGCTATTTGAAGATGAAATCTACTTTGCGGAGAACAATACACGCTGCAATCCTGGCATGATTAGGTAAACGTAAAATTAATGAAAAGAGCCATTTCACAAGGTCTTGGCTGAATATGACAGTGCCATGTCCTTAAGGTTAAATCTATGCCCCAAAAAGGGTAGAACAACTAGATTCAAGGCATGTTTTGCATGCATATACCGGAGCACCCTAAAGGTGAATTGTTACTCATTTTCAAAGTTTGGCAAATTGCAGGCGCATGACTTAAGGGACAGGGGAACTGATTAGATAAAGAGTAAATAAATGGCCATGAGGCAACAGTCTTCTCTGCTTAAACAGAACCCCGTCCCAATGTGTTTTTATTATCTGTTCTTAGAGGTTGAAAAAGGGTTGCTTGGTGTTTTATGAATGTTTAAAACATTAATAAATGTGAATGTTTAAACGAGGCCTGGTGCAAGTTCAGCCCTTCCTCCAGGTGTTTTGGACTCCAGCTCCCACAATTCCTAACAGCTTACTGGGTGTTAGGAATTGTGGGAGCTGGCGTCTAAAACACCTGGAAAGAGGGCTGAACTTGCACCAGGCCTGATTTAAAAGCTAGTTTGAGCCCATCATCCATGACTGTGAAGACATTTGCCCTTCCGCTTTGCTACTCTGCAAATGAGTGTGCATGTCAAGTTTAGAACGCATCTCATTATGCTAAAACAGTTGATATGGCTCTTAATGGCTGGATGGCCATCTGTTGGGGGTGCTTTGAATGCGATTTTCCTGCTTCATGGCAGGGGGTTGGACTGGATGGCTCATGAGGTCTCTTACAACTCTATGATTCTATGCTGCATTATCATAGGATGCCTATGCCCTACACCACTGGAGAAATTTAGCCGGTATTGCACCACCTGAAATCTTCTGGGAAATAATAATAATAATAATAATAATAATAATAATAATAATAATAATAATAATCTTTATTTATACCCCGCCACCATCTCCCCGATGGGGACTCGGAGCAGCTTACATGAGGCCAAGCCCAAACAACAAATTACAACAGAGTAAAACTGAAAACGCAAACCCAAAACACGAACAATAAACATCATAATTACATAAAACATGTGAATACATAACAATATAAAATTACAATAAGCACAATCACAGTGACAATTATTAAAAGAAAACTAATTAAAAACAGTCATTGAAGGCACATTGGAACAGCCAAGTTTTCAGGCTCCTCCTAAAGATTTTCAGGGTGGGGGCTTGCCTAATATCTCTGGGGAGCGAATTCCAGAGCCGAGGGGCCACTACAGAGAAGGCCCTCTCTCTCGTCCCCACAAATCGCGCTCGCAATGAAGTAGCAGCCAATAATGAAAGGACCAAGGCAATGACATCTCTGGCCCATCCTCTGTTCGGATGCCAACCAGTCTGTCAATGCCATAAATCAAGAAATAGTTTTCTAAGATCTACACTTGCAGGAACACCTCAGCAAGTGAGAGTCCAAAAGTGGCAGGCTCAAACCCGGAACCTCAATCAGTGGCTGATACCAAATAAGAGACTCCCTCCTGGGCACAAAGAAGATTGGGTGACTTGGAAGGCACTAAAGAGACTGCGTTCTGGCACCATGAGATGCAGAGCCAATCTTATGAAAAAGGGACACAAAGTGGAGTCCACGACATGTGAGTGTGGAGAAGAGCAAACCACAGACCACTTATTACAATGCTGCCTGAGCCCTGCCACATGCACAATGGAGGACCTTCTTGTGGCAACACCAGAGGCACTCCAAGTGGCCAGCTATTGGTCAAAGGACATTTAGTATAATACCATGTTTTTTAAAACTCTGTGTTTTTAAAATACATTACAACTGTACCCTTGGCTCGCTTCTGATACAATACATAAATATCCCACCACTCTTAAAGGGTTGGGCCAGATTTTGCAGCATTTTAACAAATGATAGTGTGCATTCTCATTCCCTTCCCCTCTGTCTCTTGCAAAAGAGAAGAAATCCTATCAGGTGAGAAAGGTGGGAATGCTTTGGGTGGGGCAGTGAAGCCTTCCTCCCAATCAAGCGAAGGACTAAGCACATTCTGCTGAGCTCAAGCAGCACACCAGTCTGCAATCCCAAGTCGTGGCTCCTGCCAAAGGCTGCTCTTTGGCTCGACCCTCATTCTTCCGCCAACCTCCTTGGACCATGGACATTGCTGCTTCTGAGACGGAGTGGGGACCCACGCCTCCTGCCGCCAACCTGAATGGCAACTGGCACTATCAGTTCCGGATCCTCTTGCTGGGGGACTCCACAGTGGGCAAGACGTCCCTGTTGAGGCGCTACACCGAGCGGTGCTTCATCCCGGCCCCGTGCCCCACAGTGGGAGTGGAGTTCTACAGCCGGATGATGGAGCTGCCCCCAGGGATCAAGGTGAAGCTGCAGCTTTGGGACACAGCGGGACAAGAGAGGTTCAGGTGAGGAGTGACCCCCTTGCTGGACCAAAGGAAGTCGGCACTGCTTACAGTGGGATCCTAGGTTTTTCCTTTTGTCCAAACCCCTTTGAGAGATGGGAGCCGCCTGGCTCGACAACAGTCCGTGAGAGAAAGATCTTGCTGTCTTTGTGGATAATAAATTGAACATGAGCCAGGAATGTTATTTATTTATTTATATCAAAAGCATTGCATAAATTAGTATAAAACTGATAAAAACAGAAGGTGCGCAGGCAGCTAAATATCTTTTGACCAAAAACGGGCAACAGCAACGGCATTGTCTGTAGCCTCCAACTATTCCTCCTCTGTACATGAGGTAGGGCACAGTGGACAAGCATACAGATGCAGAGTTGTCTGTTCTGCTCCACAGTCACATAAGATGTGGAATTCTTTTAGGTAGTGCCATTTTGCCAGGTTGTCTTTTGATCTGTACAGTGGCCCTTATTTCTCATGCCAGTAAGGTAATGCTCAAGATCCTGCAAGAAAGACTCCAGCAATACATGGAGTGAGAGTTGCCAGATGTACAAGCTGGGTTTAGAAAAGGCAGAGGAACGAGAGACCAAATTGCCAATATCCATTGGGTAATGGAGAAAGGCAGGGAATTTCAGAAAAAAACATCTATTTCTGTTTTACTGACTACTCTAAAGCTTTTGACTGTGTGGATCATAATAAATTGTGGCAAGTTCCTGGTGGTATGGGCATACCAAATCACCTTATCTCTCTCCTGAGGAATCTGTATAAGGACCAATTATATAATAAGGACCAATCTGTATAATACGGCAGGGTTGTATACTCCCACCCAACCTATTCAACTTGTATGCAGAACACATCATGCGATGTGCCGGGCTTGACGAATGCAAGGCTGGAGTTAAAATTTCTGGAAGAAACATTAACAACCTTAGATATGCAGATGACACCACTTTGATGGCCGAAAGCAAGGAGGAGCGGAGGAGCCTTGTAATCAAGGTGCAAAAGCTGGGTTGCAGTTAAGCATTAAAAAAAAACCAAGATTATGGCAACAAGAATGATTGACAACTGGGAAATAGAGGGAGAAAACGTGGAGGCCGTGACGGACTTTGTATTTCTAAGTGCAAAGATTACTGCAGACGCAGACTGCAGCCAGGAAATCAGGAGACGCTTACTTCTTGAGAGGAGAGCAATGTCCAATCTTGATAAAATAGTGAAGAGTAGCGACATCACACTGGCAACAAAGATCCGCCTAGTCAAAGCCATGGTATTCCCTGTAGTAACCTACGGATGTGAGAGCTGGACCTTAGGGAAGGCTGAGCGAAGGAAGATCGATGCTTTTGAGCTGTGGTGTTGGAGGAAAGTTCTGAGAGTGCCTTGGACTGCGAGAAGATCCAACCAGTCCATCCTCCAGGAAATAAAGCCCAACTGCTCACTGGAGGGAAGGATACTAGAGACAAAGTTGAAGTACTTTGGCCACATCATGAGGAGACAGCAAAGCCTAGAGAAGACAATTATGCTGGGGAAGGTGGAAGGTAAAAGGAAGAGGGGCCGACAAAGGGAAGATGGATGGATGGCATCCTTGAAGTGACTGGACTGACCTTGAAGGAACTGGGGGTGGTGACGGCCGACAGGGAGCTCTGGCGTGGGCTGGTCCATGAGGTCACGAAGAGTCGGAGACGACTGAATGAATGAACAACAACAACAGAGACATCACCCTGGCAACAAAGATCTGCATAATTAAAGCAATGGAATTCCCTGTAGTAACCTACGGATGTGAGAGCTGGACCATAGGGAAGGATGAGCGAAGGAAGATCGATGCTTTTGAACTGTGGTGTTGGAGGAAAGTTCTGAGAGTGCCTTGGACTGCAAGAAGATCCAACCAGTCCACACTTCAAGAAATAAAGCCTGACTGCTCATTGGAGGGAAGAATAGTAGAGGCCAAGATGAATTACTTTGCCCACATCATGAGAAGAAAGGAAAGCTTAGAGAAGACAATGATGCTGGGGAAAAAGGAAGAGGGGCCGACCAAGGGCAAGATGGATGGATGGTATCCTTGAAGTGACTGGATTGACCTTGAAGGAGCTGGGGTGGTGACGCCCGACAGGGAGCTCTGGTATGGACCAGAGCTCCCTACCACAAAGAGTCGGAAATGACTGAACGAATGAACAACAACAACTTTTGATCTGCCCACTCCGCTTCTGAGTCTATTCAGGGACTTCCAAGCTGCCCATGGAGGAAGACCCCCTCTCGGGGGGCCATCCAGTTGCGATTTCTTGGTTTAGCTTGCCAGAGAGAAACCCTTGCTGTTGCTGGGGGGACACCAAGAAGAGTGGTAGTTCTCATAAAGCTTGATTTGAGTCTGCTGGGAGGAGGCTGGTAGCCATGTAGTAGATGGCTTTCACAGTGTTCAACCAGTTCTAACTCAGCCCTATACATTGTCGAATATGGCCTTATTCTTCCTACCAATTACCCAGATCATTTCCTCTAGTCGGCCCCTGGAATGAACAGCCACAGACCCGTACCTAATATCATTGTTGCCTGCCATAGCATTGCATTTAATTCCCGGGCCCCCTAGAATTTTTGGGCTTTCACAAATCTTGGCCCGGCCTTTTAATTTTTTTAAAAATTGCCTTGAACAGGCAGGATTATTTTTAATATATGTGTGTTATGGCGACAATTTTTATGCATATTTTGTTTTGTTAATCTTATGGTTATGTTGTTTTTACTTTGTATGTTCTGTGATTTTTACCTGGGAACTGCTCTGAGTCCCCTCGGGGAGATAGAGCGGTATATAAATAAAGTATTATTGTTGTTATTATTATTATTATTATTATTATTATTATTATTATTATTTATCTCGCTTTTAGCAGCAACTTTCCGTCGCACATTGGGAGGAGAGGCAATGCCAGCTAGCTTGTAGCGTTTATCAACAGGTGTAGGTTTAAGACATCCTGTGATTATTCTGCATGTTTCGTTCAATGCTATGTTCACCTGTTTTGCGTGGGCAGACTTATGCCAAACATGACAGGTATACTCGGCAGTTGAATAAGACAAGGCCAGGGCTGATGTTCTTATTAATTTTGGATTAATAAGGAATGTGATGCAGCAACTGAAAAAGCCAATGGGATTTGGGGCTGCATCAGAAGGAGTCTAGTGTCCAGATTGAGGGAAGCCATGGTGCCTCTTTCTGCTTTGGTCAGACTTCTTCACCTGGAATCACACTGTGTCCAGTTCTGGGCCTCATAGTTCAAAAGAGACATTGACTCGAAGCTGGAAGGAGTCCAGAGGAAGAGGGAAACTAAAAGGATCAAAGGTCTGGAGACCGTGAATCCCAATGAAGACAAGTGTCTTAAAGAGCTGGGTCTGTTTAAGCTGCAGAAGAGAAGGTTGAGCACTAGTGCATGAATTGTGTTCATATCATGAAGTCTGCTACAGACTGCTTCATATTGGGTGGGATACTTATGTCCTCTGGATGTTTTGGCCTACAATTCCCATCCACAGAAAGGCATTGTGGAGCAGTTTAAAGAGCTGGGTGTGTTTAGCTGCAGAAGAGAAGGTTGAGAGGAGACAGAGAGCCACGTATAATATCTGTAGGGGTGTCATGAGGAAGAGGGAGCAGGCTTGTTTTCTGCTGCCCTGGAGACTAGAACTCAATGCAGTTCAAATTACAGGAAAGGAGATTCCATTGAACATTAGGAAGAACTTCCTGACCTTATGAAGATCTATTCAGCAGTGGAACTCTGTCTCGGATTGTGATGGAAGCTCCTTCTTAACAGGCTTTTAAACAGAGGCTGGATGGCCATCTGTTGGGGGTGCTTTGATTGTGCCTTTCCTGCACAGCAAGGACTTGGACTAGGAGGTCCACATGGACTCTTCCTGCTCTATTATTCTATGGTTCTCCTTTCTCTTGGAAACAAGGGGTGAGACACCCCTTCCTTAGAAATTTGTGCTGCATCACTACTTGTCTAGCCAGGATAGCTCAGGATCACCATTGCCCCTTCGCTAATATTGTTTCAGGCAGAGCTCGGAAAGTTAATTTGAAAAATGTAATTCCTTGAAGCTCTCAGCTTAATTATAGCCAATTATAGGGGCTGAGGGATACTGGGAGTTGTAGCCTTATGTCTGAAATCCTGTTGGCATATGTGAAAAAAAGAGGGGAATCTACCACGCAGAGAGGATCACCATTAGGAGATCCCACTGCTGTGTCACCAATTGTAAAATATTACAATTTAAAACAACTTTAAAATGTTTGGAAGCTGCAGAGACTTAGCCACCAAATATACTGTGTTCTGAGGAAACTTTAGTGTGGAAACTGGCTACCACCACCCTTAGAAGGAAGTTTTCAGTTTGTGTCAGAGGTTTTAAGTAGCTAGAACGTGCTGAATTCGCACTCAGGGCACTGAACTCTGAGGTAACAAACAATGAGATTCTCCTAAATAATCACTGCCACCAATCTGGGAAATCTGTTCCCTTTAACTACTATGGAACTTCTTCACACAGAGGCACTCTTGAGACAGTTGTTGATTAACAAAAAACCAAGTTGTTTATTTGTGTGGATTTCAAAAAAATACAGGAACGTAAGCGTAACGGTTACAATAATTTATTTATTTATTTATTTTATTATTTAAACTTCTATGCCGTCACTCCCCTGGGGCTCGGAGCGGCTTACAAGAATGGCTAAAATCTAACAAAATTTAAAAGCAATTTAAAACAATTTAAAAACAACAATATCAAACATTAAAAGCCTGTCGAAACAGGTATGTCTTGCATGCCCTGCGGAAAGTCCCGCAAGGCACAGACTTCAGGTGGCAGAGTATTCCAGAGTGATGGTGCCACTGCTGTGAAGGCTCTGCGTCTGGTTGCTGTTAGACGCAAGGTCATGACACTGGGAACTTCCAATAGATCTTGGTCCTCAGAACGGAGGGATCTCTGGGGTTGGTAGGGGATGAGGTGAAGCTTAAAACAGTCCAATGCTTAGTTCTTAAAAAAAACCCAAAAACCCTTCACTCCTTCCG